TGTTTTTAACTATTTTAAAGCATATAGGTCTTGTTTTTGTACAAAAACGTAAATTTCTACTTCTAACAGTATGGTACCGTAGGACGTCCTAAGAATACTACAAATTTGAAAAAAAAACTTATAAATGTTGTAAATAGTAGTGTTAAGAAATCGGTCCATTGGTTAAAGTGTTATCGCAGGTCGAACTCTCCACATTCTTATATTTATACTTCGTTTATATTATTAATTTTTGAAAGTGATTTATTTACTATTTATTTTAATGTTACAAATAAAATTTACAAAAATATAAAGGTATTATTAAATTGTAAGCTGGATGATTTAATTTTAAGTTTTTATGTTATATCAATAAAAATTATAATTCAATATACTAATATTTTATTATTCAGTTTAATAAAAAGGTATGTATTTATATATATATATTATCCGTTATTAAAATAATAATTCTTGAATGTGTGTTGTTAATTAAATGGCTCGATGTCTACTTTAATTGGCAACGTAGCATTATGCACTTGGCAATTTATAAAAGTTGGCAAAGATTGTCATCCAATAGGAAGGCCAAGGCTACTAAACACAGTAATAATAATAATTAAAGTGCACTATATAAATATAAAATAAAAACTTTCAAGTATACAGTGTGAATGATTTAATGCAGTGACGTAGTTGGCGGTTTAGTTTTTTAAGCTGTAGTTAGTTGATAAAGTCTCTCCTCAAAATTCTAATACTATATAGTTCACTTACTAATTTTAGCGATATTTATTATAACAACCAAATCACTATATATGTCCAAAAATGTAATAAATTTCTAATTTCTAATTTTAACAGTTAAGACAATTACATCGTGATAATTGTTTCTTAATAGGTCCACATTCGTCAATAAGTGAAAGGCACCAAGTTACTTGTTATGAACCCGAAAAATCGTAAATCTATATTATTATGGATCAAAAAACACTATTTACGTAGGTAAATAGCAATTAAAATGTATTTACACAAACCCAATCACAGATACAGTTGGCAATTATCCTATTGGCACTCTATCGAAATGTATTTATATCGTATATATACACTAATATTTAAATAAAATATATATTATTATATTGAAAAGATTACCTATGGACTATGATGTTTTTCATCTCATTTCTGAGTAGAATAACAGCTATTCATAAATATGTATAAACAGAGTGTACTTCTTTTATTATGATTTATAGCTTTGTTACATAACAAAAGTCTTTGAATAATAAATTATGTAAAAATGGATTTCTCCCACGATATATATATATATATATATATATGTATATTATGTATGTTATAAACTATTTATGTATCATACAAATTACACGGTGATAAAATATATATTCCTTCAAGTGCGTAAGAGAGCTTCTTCCTCTCCCTTCGATTTTCATATGACTATGCAGTTTTGTCCTTGACCACGAGTGATTTTTATCCGACCATACAGAGTGCACTGTGCGTATGATATTCCATACTGTTTCCTGTGCGCTACATACCCCGCCTTACACAAACAGAACGGGTAAGCGGGAAGGGCCTCGCAATGCATTTTCAACTGCATTCATTTCCTGGTATAGAATGACCTTGGCTATTATATCTCATAGGAGGGAGATTCTTTAATATTATTCCAACATTTTTAAATAATAATATCTGCCTACATCGTTATTGAGCTATTTCATTTTCTTTTCTTTTTTTTATGGTGATATTACATTTTTGTGCGATTCCCACACAAAAATAATATTATTACTTAGAAGTGTAACTCAAAGTTAACAAGACAATAATTGCTCCCATAACATTTACCATTCGCCATTTCCGTTGTTTAAAAAAAAAAAAATGTTATAATTACTTATTTAAAATTTTTTTAATTTAATTAAAATAATTAAAACCATTCTTATTGAATATTACTATTATATTATTGAAATAATTAAAACTGACAGCAAACACGTGATTACAGTTACCTATTATTATCATCAGCTGTTGTCAATTGGTCAAGACTAGGTCAAGGTGACCTTGATAATGTACTTATGCGTAATATAAAATGCACAGGTGCATCATACTGTCCTGAAATATTGCAACATTTGTATGACAATGTATACTTTTGTACACTTGTTTGTGTATGTCAGGGGAGGGGATCCATTGTTGTCAATGTCTTTTATAAAAAAAAAAAATGTCAAAATGTATTTTAGAAATGCTTCTAAATTTCTATCTTAATATGTTTGTCAAAATTCAGGAAAGAATATCAAGACTTAACCCAAAACGGACATGGGATAGTTCTTTTAAGTTAAATGAGTATTTTTTACAACTTAAACTCGGATTAGTTGTGTATTCTGTAAAATAAAATACAATTTTTTAACAGTTTTAATTACTATTTAAAAAACAATACCCTAAGTTAGTTTATGCCTAAATAATACCCCATTCAAATTTTGAACCAATTTCATTGTATTCATTTCAGAGTACATAACAACGTACCAAATTTTAAAGAAAAAAAACATTTAAGTTATAAAGGAGAAAATTTGATTAATTTTTGTCTTCATAAAGTACTTTTAGAGAAGGATTTCTAATCAACAGACTATAAATATTATGAAGAACCAACAGTTAAAAAATTCTTCGATGCGAATTTCAAAAAGTTTTTCCAAAAACATATCATTGGAAAATCGACACTTTCTTAGTCCTGCATTGTAACTAGAAGTTAAACTTTTTTTTCGAAATTGCACAGTATTGGCTTTTTAATAAGAACTTAAATTAAAAATATTAGAAACCCGTCTAGTTCTTTTATGAACTAACACGTAAGTTATGGAAAATATTTTTTTTATTAGGTATGTTATACCAATTTTAAAATTTGTTTAAAAATTAGGTTATTATTTATCATGATTTTTTAGTAAACACTAGTATAGACAAAAACTTAAAATTTAATACTTAGCATTATTACTAATAATATTGCTCATAGTATAAGTAATAAGTTTTTAGATTTTTTTCTAAAATAGAGACAACTAAAATCTTTATATTTGTTTATTATATTTTAATTTTAAACAAGTATCGCTAGTGTTTTTTTAGCGTTAATGCGAAGGTACTTTTTAACTTTTGAGTCTGGACCTACGTTATTTTTTTGATAATCGGCCCGATTTATTTATGTCAAGTCTATAAGATTAGAAATAGTACTCAAAAAGTACTTTATGAGACCAAAGTTAAAAGAAGTTAACCCCTTCCAATTTGAAATCAAGAAAAACACAATGTATAATAGATCTAACACAGCCTGGCAGATTTGCAATAAAATTGTATGTAACACATACGGCTAATAGAAATATTTGTAATTCATTTATACTATTATTATAACTTGAAAACCAAATACTTTTTTATAATAAACATTATAAAAATTAAGTTGAACTTCATATTTGCTAATGCATTAAAAAACAATTTAAGTAACACTCGATGTACGTTTATCATATTATTTAGAAATGGTTATCATTTTATATTATGCGTGGTTGTATTATTTCATTTTGTTTATCGAGCTTAACACAAGGTCAAGTGTACTAGGTCAGAAAATATGAGAACAGTAGCAGTATAGATAAGTAAATTGTAAAAAAAAGTTCTTTAAATTATTATTATTGACGGATGGTACCTAATATAATGTTGTTCTATCCACTAAGAATAATATAAACATTTTATTAGATAAAATTACTTATTATATTATATATTTATAGTAATCAATTAATTCTATGATAACTACTTCCTACTGTAAAGTAAATGTGATAAAATATTATAAATATGTTTTTAATACGTAACTGTGTACATTTTTTTTAGGATTTTCTTAATATTCTTTATTTTTACTAATTAATTGTATCAAGTCAATTCACAATATAATAGACATATATAGCATACTTATTGATGATGCAAAATAAATAATAATTAGTCAAACCTTTAAGTAGCTGTTATTAATAAATATTTATTGTCGTGGCAGGAGTTACAATACATTTATCCATCCAGTAGACAATCGAGAATCCTAGTTTATGGTGAACTATAATTTACAATAGGTTTAAATTAGTCAAATTTATGAGCAAAGACCAATCGGTATTTTCCCATCAAATAGTGCTCGAATTAAGAAAAACAAGGTAGAGAACAATTTGTACTCCAAACTCAGTATTATTGAAAAAAGGCTTAAATTTACATAATCTTCGAACTTTTTGATGGTAGATATATTAATTGTTTTTTGAATAGTGAAAACTAAACAATTTTTAAGATTATATTTTACCTCATAATTATAATTAGCTTAATACATAAAAAAATGTAGTTGATGCTCCCAAATTGTTTACATTATTTAAGTACAAATTATTTTTATATCATTTTTAGTCTTCTTCTAGTTAAATTAAAAGTTCTAATGGGGATCTGGCTTGAAAGATCCGTCGTTTAAAGGCCAATGAAATTGTGCATAATATACGGCTCAAATCGCATGCGAATACCTATTATAAAATTATTAACTACTATGATGTTATCCTAACTTATTATACATGCAAAAACTGCATATAGGTAAATCGTTTTTTTACAAACGGTTTTTATGAATTTTGATATAATAGTGAAATGGCTCATCTTGAAAGTACGCCAAAAAAATATTCGTTGAAAAAGTAAAATTTTTAAAATTACCAAATTGACAACATCGCAATTTGTTTGTTTAATTTTTAATTGTATAAACCTACTTTTACAATTATTGCCTCACATAATATAAACCATTAATTTAAAATATTATAAATATTTATAATCAATGTATAAACTAAATGTCTAATACACGTTTTATAATACAATTTTCACGCAATTAATAATGTAACAAAATCGTAAAATATTATTATATTTTAATAACAAAAATTTAACTTTATTGCTTATATTTAAACAGCAGTTAAACCTTTTATGACTAATACGTGAAGCGTCATTTATTTAAACACTGGTACATGATTTAAATGTATAACTGTATATTAAAAAAAAAAATAGCGCTTATAATTAGAATAAAATAAATTTAATTCTAATGTTAATGATAATCGAAATGTAAAACGGTATTGTAAATTAAAACTGAAACCAGGAAAATTTAAAAACGTTGTTTAAATAAAAATAAAAATAAACATAAAACAACGTAACGGTAAAAAAGGATTTTTGTTCGTTATCGACCTTTTAGACTTAACCAATACTTTGAATCAAATTGTTAGGTATTAAAAAATTTTTTTTCATATAATATTTCTAGTTAAACATGTAATAATATGAAGTATTTTCAAGATAAATCGTAATAGTTTTTATATTTTTAGTGCCACCACTAATATTAATTTAGTTTTAGTGTATTCTCGGCCCCAGTAATAAATACATAAATTAGGTGATCATTGATTAATTTAAAACTTTACCTTTAAACTATCCTTAAACCTATTTTTCTACTTGTAATATTTCACCACTTATATAAGTTGATATTTAAATACTGTTGAATATCATACTTATTATATTAATTTATGACTATTTAGAATTTATAAGATTCAAATAATTTAAAAGTCGTTTTTAAACGGTATTATGTTTGTTCAGCTTGTATTCTTGCCATTAATGCTGCTCGTTGGGCATCGCTTACTACTTCAGGACATTTTTTTTTCTGAATCATTTTGCAGTCTTTAAAAAATCCCTCATGTCTTGGAAGACCATGACTTCCATCTTTAAACGTCATTAAACCTAAATAATAATAATAATAATCTATTTTGCATTAATAAATATGTAAATACATAACAATATTGTCAATGCAAACTTTTAATCAAATCAACCTATCAACGATATGTGCCATGAACTATGATGAGAATATTGATATTCGTGATGTGTGCTGACTACTAATTTTGATTAGACATGTTGAAGATAAGAAAAAAAATTGAAGTACCAACATTTATAAGGGACAATGAAAGGGCGAGATTTATTTTGGGTAAGTGACTGTCCACTTTTGCCCCTAGCATATAAATTTCAAAAACCTCTCATTAGGCATTAGTATTACTAAACTTTAACTGCAGATTCCAAATGCTCAATAATAGCAAAACTAATTAAGCATAACTAACTAATTAAACTAATTACCTGTAATTAAAAGCATCCACAAAAGTATAAAAACACAATATAAATGAACATAAAAATCGCTTAAAACTTTAGTAGATAATTGAATAGGTTATAACCGAAAGGTTACAGGTGCTAAATTTCCCAAAAACAATGACAATGAAACATTTTCTCTTTTTATTTGTTTTACAATTTTTTATCAAGAGATAAGTATAATTTATTTTTAGTGAAATAGTAATGAAAACTACTGAACATCACCTATAAGAACAAATTCAAAATATAATTTTTATTTTACTCTCCTGTATAACTTCACAAAATTCACTATTCTTTTTTTCTTTCTCAACCATTCAATTGCAATACAGATGTAGAAATTACCGTAAAAAAAAACTATCTTGATTAAGTCCTGGAATCCATCGTACCTTTAGTTGTATGTGCCTAAGCCAAGTGGCATCATTTGGGGATTGGCAAGGCACCCCAACAGTGAAGGGGTATTGACCGGTGTCTGGTTGGTTATTGACATTTGACCCGGCCGGTATGATAAGTGCAAACTTATAGATCGGTCAACATGTTTCCCCCCTCCCATAACAATAACTTATAAATACAGTTTTATAATTTTATATGAACGGCATTTTTAAGTTTTTTTTATGAAATATTATAACTCCATATTTCATACAATCAATTAACTTAAAATGTTCTCTAGCCGAAACAAATTAAAGTGGCCTCTATAATTCTACGAGATATGGAAAACTGTAGAAGGCTATGAAAGGTATTTATTGCTATACATAACTCAATATCTCATTACACCCGTGCACTATGTCATCTATTTACCTACATAACTAGAATCAACCTATCTTTAAGTAATTGATGTATAAGTATTGGAACGAACCCAATCCCCAAATACGGCCTCCTTTGAACTGTCCTTCATATTTCATGCCATCAGATCTCCAAAACATGCCAACACCATGAAACCATCCTTGCATAAATTCTCCTTCATATCTACACAAAAAAATTGTACCAATATAGATAAAAAAAGCATTTACATAGGTAACTGTGTTTCAATAAGCTGCTGACGCTTCCTTAAATGGATTCATTTTTATTTATTAGATTTATATTAAGATGGTTTGTTGGAAAACATTACGCACAATTTTCAACGTAAATCATAAATTTTCTAAATTTAAAATTTTTCTTTTCGGATACTCTTGGTTGGAACAAAACAAACCGTGTCTCGTCATCATTTTTACTAAACTAATAATTGTATCCCATAAAAAAAAAGTATCAAAATAATTTGTCTAATAGTTACTTATTTACTTTTTAATAAAATTTAAATATTTTTTTCTCTGTACACTGCCAACGTTCTATATTATAGTGGTTACTTATATATGAAGGGCTGCGGGGAAAAAAGATAATGTCAATTTTTTAACATTCTGAGAAAGTCATGTTTTTAATTTCAAAACGTAATACATTTTGCCTGTATGCCTAAATTTCCGGCGGTCGTTACTCTCGATTATTCTATTTTTTCCCTGGTTCGAGCGCATTAAAGATACAATACATTAATACAAATAATTTGATACCAAAATCTAATTTTTAAAAAAAATTGAAATTGATCTTTTTTCCCCGCAGCCCTTCATATTTTAACTATTAATTAATTCGAGTATTACCTGCTTAAAAATAGTGATTGGTCGACACTCATTTTAAACAATGATTTTTGGTGGTTTTAGAACCATATTCTAAAACCACAAAATGCATAATATAACAAATCTATAAGTTCTTATTCCAAAGTTATTACAACACTGGAAAATATTCAGGGATATTGAGATTTCCTGTTGGTCAACTAGTATTATTGTCTGAGACCGGTATGGTTGTACAGGAAAATTACATGCACCTTTTGAGCATTGTTTTAATTATCAATTTTTGACACTCTATCATATTGCGAGAAAACTATAAATTTCTATGCATACGGATATATAGATATTTTATATTGTATAAAGTATAAAATATACTTGAAAATCAATGATTTAACATATAGTGGCAATTAGTGTGTTTATAATCGTTATAAACTGAGGTTAATTAAAACCCCTTCAGTCAGATCGTAGTTAGGCAAAATAACATTTTTTTTATTCAAAAATAAGTATAAGATTTACAGTATTAACCTACCTAGTTCCATCTGGGTACTGCAAAACACCAAGACCCGAGGAAAGCCCATTACAAAATCCTCCCTCATAACGGGTATTATCCTTTAACTGAACATGACCCAAACCATGTTTTTGGCCTCGGTCATTCCAATCTCCGATATATTTTGTACCATCTTCGTACACATATGCTCCAAATTTAATAATCCGTGCTGCAATGTAAGTAATACATAGTCTCACAACATCAACAATAATATCTGTTGTTATAATATAACTTATTTAAATAAAAGTAAAAGTCCATAATAAAATATATTTTAAACTCTGGCATTATATTGTCGCTCCTAACGAAAACGAACACATTTTACTATATAAATAATAAACATTAAACATAGGTAAAAGGAAACATGTTTTCGTAAATAGCTTCCTCAAACACACTGAAAAGCGTCGAATATGACAATTCCGGTAATAAAGTAATAATATAATCTGATAAAAACAATATTTTTAGATTTCAGCCAAAATTAAAAAAGTTAAGAATAAAATTAATTTTTAAAAAAATTATACATATTACTTACGAAATTTAAAAAAAATAGTATTTATTTTACGTATTTATAAATTGTAAAAAGGTTTACTTACCTGATTTCATTAGTTAACCTAAACAATATCAATATATAATTTTAAAAAATATCCACAGTAAACTTGTATAGTGTCTTGTTGGAATGAAACAACTCTAAAGAAAAAAAAAGGAATCCATATATAAACCTTGACGTTTTATAGCTATTGATTTACTTTAATTAAATTAGTAGTTGTAGTAATCTGACATCTACTATAATTGAATTACTCAAAAGTCAAAAATACTCACATGACAATAAAGTTTCGAAAACATTTTTTTTTAAATATTTTAAATAGAAAAAGATAAAATTAACAAATGTACTCCTTTATATTACTACTCTTCTTGTTTGGAGTTAAAGGGAAAAAGGAGAAAAAAGTAATCATTTAAACCTGGTTATTAATCAATCAAAATTATCGAACAAACTATTTAATTTAGCTTAGAGTTAGTAAAATATAAATGTTACCATTTAAGATATATTAAACTATGTTAATAGCGCTTTAGAAAATATACAAATAATTAATTAGGTATTTGGATGTTTTATAATACTATAAAATAACATACATAAAAATGTTTTCAAAACAAAAAAAAAACGAAATCGCAATTATTTCTTAAAATAATGAGTTTCAAGTAGATTAAGTTGATCAAAAGTGGAAGACACGACTGGTAGGTACCCTCTCGTGTGCCAAACCAAGCTCTAAAGGGTTTTATAAAATTCACAGATTGCTGCAAGCAGATATTATGCTTGTCTTTCAAAAGATACATTATATACATTCTTCATACCTAATAAATTATATTTTGTTTCTGGTTTCATTTCAATTTTTGTATTTTTATTATTATATAACATAATAATAAAAATACAAAAATTGAAATGTAGGTATACCAGTAGTATTTCTCTATATAATAAATTACTATTTTTTTATTTAGGTTCATTATCTATTTTTTCTTATCTTTTTATTTGGAAGTTTATTATGATCTTCTTCTTTTATTTAACTATCAACTATGTATTTAGGTACCGGTAAACAGAGAGATAAACCAACTAGAATTAAGTTTTTTTTTGTATTTGTTAAAGGAAATTTTTCAAATATTGAAGTGATGTCAGGGGGGAGGGTGGTTTGACCCTGAACGCATTTCTCTTTGTAATATACAGTCCTGATCAAGTTTATCATAATATTATTCATATTAGTTACCCACAGATTACAATAGTCTATATAGAATGCACAATGTCTATAAAGTTCAGTTTATTAGTGTCTGAAGGTAGAACTTACGAGGCTTCCATTTTATTCATTGTAGTTATTTTCCCCATATGATTTTTCTAATTCATTGAATACCATAGGATATTTCTATTATTTTCTCATCTTCCCGCTGCTATTAGGGAATATTGCTAGAAAGTTTATTAGTTTACGCGTTTAAGATTATCGGCTATAATTTTGAAGGAAATCTAAATTTTAAACTCTACAATTAGACGTCTCCGGTCTCACCTATTTGTTATAATGAGTTTTGCATAGAAAGTTCCTTGTCAAAAATTGAACTTTAAGTAAAAAATGTATCTACTATATTTAATTATTTTACACCAAAACATATTTAGGAACAAACGGGGCCAGCTTCTTATGCCATTTGGATTTTGCTATGCTGTAGTGCCCCAACTCCCGTTAGGATGAGGGTTCGCGGCCTCAAACCTGCAGAGAAAAAATAGCTAAAAAAAAATAAAGCTAATACTGCTCTGCAGGTGGTCACCGACCTAACGAGTCCGAACTCAGACTTCCAGCCCACAATATCGAAAAAAAAAGGTTAGGTACTTCAAAGAAATGATTTTACCTCTATTGTACCGATTACATGCTTACAATAGGTACTGAATAAAATACCTTTAGGTGGACTTTCAATAGTACAACTCAAATTCTTAGAGAAAAAACATTAAATGAATGATATAAATTTATATTACATATTGTGATGCCAAAATTATTGTTGTTCGTATGGGAGGTACCTACAATTGGCTTTGATATTGCACTAGATATTTCAATTGATTGAAAAAGTTTTCAAATACCATCTATTCTATCTAATATCTATATATATTATATATAATATATATATTTAACATAATTACCGTTCTTTTTCGTCCACATTAAAATATTATATAGGTGTTAAAACTACAGACAAAAAAAATATATAAAAATCATGGAGTAAAAAAATAATGAAAAATAAATCATGGAAGAAAAAACGTATATCATTCGTGAAGTTTTTTTTTTATAGGTGTACTTAATTGAAGTGAAATTTCTTTCAAGTATACAACCAAAGTGAACACAATATGATATTCGAACAAATTCGTCTTATTTAAATAAAATAATGGACGAAGCATTAACTTTAACATGAATTACCATTCGATGTGTTATCCCTTTGTTTTATTATGATAACCGCAGCCCCCATGTTATAATCGACGGTCTTATGATAACCAAATTACGAAAGAAGTCCCTTACATTTTGTGCATCACACTCTTACACGTAAGTACCTGGCACACTAGTGTTGCATATTATACTTTAAACATTATTGTAGAGAATTTAAGTACTGATTTTATCATAAAACCAGTTCACGTGAACCGCTTGTTAAATCAAATTTGTACGCCCTATTTTTCCTTATTAGTAATCCTACAGCTGTGTGTTTGTGAAAAAATGTATGTGCCACACATCAGCTGGTAACATCTGTCATCAACGATTCTTAATAATTTATTCTTAATTCCACTGTGATACTCGATGGTAATAACAAAACATTCTTCCAATCTCACTACTAACTATGAAAATTTATGATTTCAAATTTTTTTTTTTATTATTCTACTTTATTCATTTTTTTTTTACTCAGGTAATAGTGTGATGGCACAAGAAGTCCGTAATAATGACGGTATATATATGAAACAGGACATATCTAACGTTGCAACTCAAAATGTATGTTTCGTATGTGGGAATTCGGGTCATTCTGAACAGTATTGGTTAAGGATACGACCATCATCTACAGGACCTATAGATGGCACACCACACTTTCCATTCCTGGAAATGCATGAGCCGCCACAAGGTTATAAACTGTCATTTGATTCTAAGCAAGAAAACATGGTATGTATTGAACTGTTAAGTACGTTATTTAAAAAAAATTTTTTTTTTTTCAATAACGAAATTGGTTTTTATGATCATGGCCTAAATTTTAACTCTTTCTTAATTTTATATTTTTCTAGTTAACTGTGTTCTAATAGGTAATTCATATTTTAAAATTTTTATTGTTAAAAATCCAAGTTTTATTTCAAAATATTCACTTTTCGTTATATACATATGTGCTATCTTTATGTAAAATGACGTTGCAATTTTCACTTAACATAAGCACCTAATTTGCATTGTTTACCAATAAACTAAATGCATATTATGTAATACTTATTTAATTGTTATTTATTTTTAGGTGACAAGTTGTTACTTATGTTATTCACTTCTAATCGGTCAGTGGGATAGGTATGAACATGATAATGTACCAGCAAGACAACGAGTATATTGGCTGAAACGCTGTGATAATGGCCCATTTACTGGTGCTGACCTTTCAACTCAAGGAGAATATGCATGTCAACTATTGGGTCTTAGTGTAGATTTTACAAACAGGTTAATATTACAAATAGATCATACATAACTTAACACACTATTTTTTTAATTAAGTTCATGTATATTATGTAGTTTACGGTATACAGCATAGTATATCATAAATATAACTGTTTTAAACTTAATCAGAGTGTGGACTGCTTAATGCAGATTAATTTTAGATAAGATTTAACTAAGATATTAATAGTTATACTTAGTGAGATAGTTGTACTACTGGTGTTCCAGATAGTAGCAGTAGTAGATTTTATTGGGGGAAATTGTAAAAATGCATTAATTAAAATTTTTAAAGGACACTATATAATTTCTATTAAATTTTGGTTATTATTGGTATTTTAGTAAAATATATTTGTATTATCATGTTGGCGATTATTATTTAATCAAAAAATAAAAATAAATAATTTCTTCAAATATATTTTAAATAAAAATATAAACTGTTATAAGATCTCTTTTATTATAAATATATCACCCAATATGATTAATAATGTATCAATGACATAAGTATTAATGCGTGTTGTTTCTATATAGCCATAAGGATACAGTAATGTCATCTGCAATGTCACAAATAACTGGAGAAGATAGTAGAGGTACTAGATTTCAACCGACTTCTGCTTCAACTTTATCTGATCACATAACTCAACAAAACGGTTCAAATACAATCAATATGGGGGCACCTCATTCTAATCCAGGTATACATATTTATTTTTATTAATTGCTATATTATTACTTGTATTGAATAATATACACGGTTATAAGTAAACGCATAGATAGAAAAGTTGGAGATGGGTATACCTTACACCACTGCCTATGTTGTATTATTAATAGTATTATTTTGCTTGCTTGTAGGAAGTTACAGTAGCAGCAGTGGTACAGATATTTTGGATCTTTCGATGCCTGACAAAAACTCTTCAACTGAAGTGTGCTATGTTTGTGGTGAGGAATTTCGTCGAGGTTCCTTATCACACGTGTCAGCTAAACCACCTGTAGTCATCAATCAAACTGACCAACCATTTTTTCCTAGCCTTATGTTACATCCTAGACCTCCTCGTTCAAGACCAATGGATAGTACAGGTCGTGTACAGACATGTTCTGCTTGTCATGCTCACCTTTTAAAACAATGGCAGGTGAGAACATTTACAACTGGTTGTTTATTAGTTTGTAGTTACTTTAAATTAACTAGATTTGAATGTTTATTGAGTATCATTTTTATATAGTCAAAATATTACAGTACATTATATTATCAAATCAATAATTTACAATGTTTATCTCGGAGTCAACTACATATGTACTCAAGAAAATAAAATTGAATTTATTATTTATTCCCATTATTGTTTATAATAAACATTGTTCTACAATATAATTAGGTGACTGAATGCTTCTCATAAGTATTGAAAGTATTTTAAATTATGTAAAAATTACATGTTCATTAGAAACAATACAAATTCTTTTTTAATCGCAATAGTTATTATAGAGCATATTTTAATGTATTATATTATAGGTATACACATCAAAAGGTATTCCACACGGAGAAAGAAATTATATTCTGCGCAAAAGATTAATTCCTTCTATTGATACGTCTACATTTGTTTGCTTCACTTGTTCACTTGAATATCCTTCAGTATCGATGCGGTAATTATTGTTACACCATTTTTAAATACCTCTTTTAGTTATTTTCACGCTATTTTACAGAAGTTTATACTGTTACCCAAATAACAGTCGTGAGCCCTACTATCCATCATTAACAAAAATAAAAACTCCACCCGGAGCTCTTCCGATATCTCCTCAAGGCACTGTTCAAGTATGTATCAAGTACATATATCTAATATGTTTTGATAACAAATCAATATTTATTGCTTTATTCCTTATTTAGGTATGTGCTGTATGTTTTAAATCTGTTCCTCAAAAGCATCAAGTTACTATGTTGATGGATTTACCTGTTGTACCTTCTCCATCTCCATCACTTCAGTCAATTAAGTCACCTGATATTCGTTTTCGCCCATATGATATCACTAAACCAAACAAATCGCAAACATCTTCACCGTCTGTAATACATCAAAATAGTTTAAATGTTAGTTGTTCAAACCATTAATACAACACTGTGTATTAAGAATATATTATAAATAGTCAAATTTTTTTTCTCGTAGGCTGCTATTGATTTAACTGGCAATGGAGGAGGAAGTGACCATATTATGAGTGGTAATAATTTTCGGTGTTATGTTTGTTATGAAATGCTACCTCGTTCTCAACTTAAATGGTTGTGTACAAGTGCCGAAGGCATGAATTCACATGCCATGCATTTTCCGTGTCTTAAACAATTATCAAGGTATGCGTAAGATCACATAAGGGACTTTAAAATAAATTGTATACATTTTTGTAATTTATTATATAAAAAATTTTAATAATTTTAAGGTCGTCAGAAAACTATTGTGTTGAATCTCAAGGTAGAGTTTTATCCTGTAATAAGTGTGTTCAACAACTGACTACCCAATGGAATTCTATGGAAACCAACAGGGTCCCTTTAGAACATAGAAGGTACAAATTGTTTGACAATTTTTATTTCATTGGTCTAATATACCTTGAATTTTGTCTTCTAGGTATAACGTTCCTAGTTTGAATGTTAATGGTTATAACTCGCAGCAAACATCTAATCGAAATGATGTTTCATCTATTTATTGTTTCTTATGTGGCTATCATTCAGATTTAACATATGCCAGAGTTCTATATAGTCATCCACAAGTATTTTAAACCTTTTTTTAACACAATCAATTGTTATTGCATTAATGGTTTTTTTTTATAATTTTAGGGTAGAAATGCTCCTTATTTTCCTTATCTTTTAAAACATGAAACGACTGCAGGATCAGAACAGTTGCGTGAAGATGGGTCTGCACTAGTTTGTACATTTTGTTACCATGGTTATGTCGCCCAATGGCGAGATTTTGAAGCGGCAGCAACTCCCGTTCCTCAACCTCAACGACTGTACAATCATAAAGAATATGTTTGCTATGTTTGCACCCAACGAACAGGACGCCATAGTATTCGGTCTTTAGCGATAAATGTTAGTAAATATAATAAAACAAATATATGTAACTGTAAATAATTTGTTTAAACAATTTAATTCAAGGATTATCCTTTCTTACGTTACCACCGTCAATCTGATCAAGCGTTATTACTGGAAAATGGAGAGTTTGCTGTGGTCTGTGTGGAATGTTATGAAACCATTCATATACAAGCTCTTGAGTATGAACGTTTTGGTATGCCTTTAGATAAGCAAAGTCTTCAAAATTCTTATGCTAATAGCATCAGGCAAGACGATTATACTGATCAACCAATTCCACAAAATATGACAATTGATAAAATACAGGTATTTAATAATTTACTTAATTGAAACAAAAGATTCTAAATTATAAACATTGCCTGTCAGTTCTAATAATATAGATTAATTAATAAAAAATGAATTACATTTTTAGGGTAATCAAACAAATAAAATTACGCGGAAAAATATCAAGCAGACTCTGGATAATTCTAAGCGACCTATACAAAGCTCCAACAATTACAACTCCAAAGTAGATACAGGTTAGTACGAAATATTAAAACAGTTCATATTTTATGTGTATATATTTAGAAATATATAGAATATGTATTAGTATCAAAATGTATTTTCTAGGTTTAAACAAACTTCAATCTTCTAGTTCAATTTTGAAAAATCCATTAAATCCAAATTGTGTAGGTCAAGCTCTTCCACCATCATCTGGTGGTCGGTCATTTGCTGCTGCACTAAGAAATCTTGCAAAACAAGCAGGTCCATCTTCCATACAATCGAATGGTAAGATGTTTAAATATTAGGTTACCTACTCAAACATTTATTCTTTCATTTTCATTTTTTATGCTTTCACCATTCTCGTGTTTTATTTTTACTTACAAATTGTATTGTACAGATAAAGAAGGAACTGAAGTCCTGGAAAGACAGCAACAAGGATATTTAAAAAGTGGCAGAATTCCTCTATCTTATCCTAATAAGTCAACACCAAATGATGTAAGATAACAATTAGTTTGTATTCATGCTTATTTGTCTAATAAAAATAAAAATGATATTTACAATATCACATCACAACTGTAGTAGTATAGAATTCGGACTGAACTTAAAATCATTTTCAAATGTGTGGTTTCTATTGTATTTATATATTCAGTAGTGACAGGTCGCTCAATCATTAACTAGCATCAATATTTGATTAATATTTAATTCTTTGGTCCTACAAATGGTTTGAACATTTTTTATATTCAGTTCATTTCGAAATTAAACAACTATTATATTACTTAGATTATATTAAATGCCACTTCATTTTAAACATAATCATTTTACTAACAAATATTCATTAGGAATCAAAATCGGGTGCGGTAAATCTAGAATCTCGCAGTGGCTTCCAGCCTTATAAGCCGGATGAACAAAGATCGTTGATGTCTACAGCGGTTTCTGCCCCTTCTCATTTTATGGTTGACCCTGCTTCATATTCACCTTACCATCCAGCAAACCTCTATTCACCTCACCTTCAACACGCCTTTAGGTAAGATTGTTTTTACACATATTTACTTATATCAAAACTATTGAAGTTATTAGAATTTAATAACTTAAGCTGGAAGAAAAGTAGTGCTGTCTACACTTTGATCATGATTTGCAATGAACATTATTTTTGACTAAACTATATTTATTTGTTGCTATTTAGCTGTTAAAAGACTGTTATCAGTTGTGATTTATAGATTTTTGATTTTTAACTACATGAAATGTATTAACAAATAAACAATTTAATAAAATAGTCTTACAAATAAGATTGTTAATTTTGTATATATATTATTTAATTTTTATATTTCTAATAAAAGAGCATTATGAGGTACAAATTTTATTTGTAAGATACTCTTTTTTTAGCATTTAACATTTGAATTTTGAAATTTATACAAAGACATTCTTTTTTTAGAATTTCTAATTGATAAAAATCATCGTAGCTGTGGTTGTACGTATAGAAACTCGTTTTTATTTTATTTTTTATCGTTTTGAAATATTTACAAAGATAAATTTTAATTAATATTTTTCTATCGATATGAGGCATTGCGTGGCAAAGTCGACAATCTCCAGGCGCAGTTATTTTTGGTAAATTTAAAAAATCTGATTTTCTTCTGCACTCTCTTTGCCGCAATTACCTATATGTGATAAAAATCAGTGTCACCAGTCGATGCAGAGTGAAAAATATAATAAGAAAATGTTAAAACATTTGTTTCATAGAAAGTGGAGATTGCTGACTTTGCCTTGCAACGCCTCATATAAACGTACTCTAAATGTAAGCCGAAAAAGGGACCTCTTGTTGCTAATATAAAATTTTGAATTATTGATTATTCCAAATTTCAAACGTTTTGAGATTAAAATTATTCTTCTATCTTGGAAATTGGCCAAATTATATTTGTTTGAATTTATTTTCAGAGAAAAAACGCTTCAATTTTTGAAATGTTGCCAAGTTTTTATTTTACATACTTAAGGAATAAAACTTATTATTTTTTATTTTTTCTTAAATATGTTTTCAATCCTGATCGATGTTGTGTTTTAGCCTCGCCTGCAACTTGGATTATTGCAATAAGAGGTCTCTTTTCCCTTTCAGTCTCACAAATAATAATACCATTCGATAGATATTTCTATTTTTATAGTTTGGCTTTATTTTCAGTCATTGTGTTACACAAGTGTGAGTTGTAAATAATAATAAAATATGTCGTGTTTTTATAGAATTGAAGAACAAATATACCTCGAAAGATGTGGAGTCCCTATATTTTCACCTTCACCATATCACCATCAGAATAGTACACATTCACCAGCTCTTTATGGACTGAATCATTTACAATCGCCGTTAATGATGTCTCCTAGTATAGCAGACAGAATGAAAATGGAAGAGGATAGACAGCAAAAAGAAGAACGAGAGAGGGAAAAGAGAGAAAGAGGAAAGCACCAACGCATTAAAAACACACAGCCATCAACTGCTACAGATCTTTCAGGTGCATTCAAAATTCATTTAATATACTTTTACAATTATTGTAACATTTAACCCTTTGTTTCAGATAGGAAGGCGTCATTAAAACCCTCAACACCACAGACGACTAAAGCTCTATTTACATGTCCAATTGATAACACTTAATCATTTAATTTTATACATATACCTATATAAGTTACCAAATTTCAATACCTAACCACATAAGACCGTTCATTACTTCCGAAATATATACCAACTGTATATATTTGAATGTGTTTACAAAATCATGCCTGTTACTAGTACTCCGACCAATACTCTTCACACGTAATATATTTAGTTTTGTGCCATTCTTATTATTCAATATCAACCAATATCACATTCATTGGATACTTTATTTGAGTATAACAGTAAATAAGAAACAAAATTATGCTGTATATTAGTTTCAAAATATATCAGGGGTATTTAATTTTGGGTGAATATAGTCAGACAAAATAATAACTTAAGTATTCTATTAATACTTCTTTTGTTTTCATTTTTCTTTTTTTGAAAGTCTGTACTAAAGAAAATGCTAATAAATAGTATTGTCGTTTTATATTCTAATTGTTTACCTAATAAAAAATAGTAAAATTAACAATTTCAGATTTCCGATGGAAACGGGGGCTATTTAATTTTTAAACTGTACCAGCAAAATCTATGAGAAAATTAGGCAACCTAAACAATTTTATGTTTATTTACCAATATTAAATAGTTACAATCGTATGAAAATGATTTTAGTTTACAGAAAAAATAATTTTTCTTAGCAAAATATGACCTGTTCATTTCAATCAAATAATTTGTTGCTTAAAAACAAAAATTTTTGATTGTATTTATTTAAAACAGATGACCGATAAGTATAAATCTGACTCTATTTGTACACATTTTTTCTTTTATCTTAATCTATAACTCAGCCAAGTTAACTTTTGTTACACATTAAACTTACATTTAAGTTTTTTGGACCATATTGTAATATGAGGAGCAATTAGTTACAATATGTACTGGCTAACTAAAGTAATTATTATTTATAAACGTGAATTATAATAAGATGGCCTTTAAGTAAGATCTTCGATATTGTTTATGTGATATTTTAACTACAAATATTAAGTTGTTAGCTATTTAAACGTGTACGCTCTATGATAAAAGAGCTAACACTTAGATACCATCTAATATTACCTATCCCTATATTATACATTTTATGTATTATACTAAATTATAGACTAACAAATATTGGAAATGACCAATAATATCCTGTGATCACTGTAGTTTGGTTAACTAACGCTTTAGTTCCCTATACATATATGTTTCATGCCTTTTTATTTTAAAAACTACCATAATTAATGTTATATATATATGTGTATGTATATATATATAGTTCCTACCCTCACAACCAAATTTTAACTATATTTTAATATTAATCAATAGGTATACTTAAATCGACGTGTCCTCTTTCAGTATTATAATATGTATGTACATTTTTTTTTTTTTTTTTTTATTCATAACTTATTCATGAACAAATTTTTATTTTAAAATGATTTTGTTACCTTATGACTGAACGCGAAGGCACATTAATAAATATATTAATTATATATGATATCCGCACTCACTCCTACTAGAATATAATACTTTTATTAATTTTAGATATAAATAACTTAACGGTTTACATTGATTTTTTTTTCTTTATTATAACTTAAAAATATTTTGTACATAAATTATTGATTAAATAAATGAAATAATTTAATGTTTTTTTTTTTAAATATATTTGTTCTTTATTCCATTTTGGCTTTATCTTTGTGGAAATCAGTCGGAAGAAACAATAGACACCAAAACGACAGCCACACGGGTAACAATAATAGTACAGCGACCGAAAATGCCCAATTTCCATAAACCATATTGTCCACGGCTGAAAGTGCTATCCACTGTCCTGAAGCATCTATAGTTTTGTCAAAATATTCTGATATTGTGAACTCAGGATATGCATTGTATGTGAAATATGCAGTTGCCCAAAACAGAAGGCACATTGGATGGACCAGCACCCAGAAAAACTTCATCAACATTCTGTAAGTAAAAGGTAAATTTAAAAATTTTTAAAACTAAGTACCACGTTATGAAATAATTTTACCTGTTATTGCTCGACTTTGTGCAAACTGCGGGAATTATGTAAATCAAAGCTGTAATATATCCAAGTGAGAAGTTATGCATGGCAACACACAGAAGGCCAATGCCCAGTTCTAGAAGACATATCACGTGTAACAAAACCCAATGAGGCGTTTTTAAGGAACTTAACATTCTAAAAATAGAAAAAAAAGTTAGATTATCATTCATGTAAACACGTTATCACCAAATAATATTTTCTCTTACTTCTTCATTATAATCGGTAATAGTCCAACTGTTAGAACAGATACACAACCGTATCCAAATAACATAGCATGATGGGTTGATACTCCATTCCAAAAGTATGTAAAATACTTAGGTGCAAAATTTGGTAACAGAACTAACCCAAACACATGAGAGCCTAATATTATCACACTGACCACACCAATGTTCAAATTTTCATGAATCTAAAAGTTTTAAAAAAACACTCAATAGTTTTGAATATAGAATTAAAATAAAATATTATACTAACAAATACAGTATCGTCTTTAGATGAATCACTAGATTGTTGATTAGAAGAATGTTGAATCCATGTAGAAAAAGCCTTTAAAAATAATGCACCGACTAACAACACCAAACAAGGCATATATAACCCTATTTTTTTTCAAATAAAAAAAATATTAACAATTATAATATGTATGCAAAAAATTATCTTTATGCGTAATTAAATAGAAACTTCTTTGCCATCATAGATTAAATAATAAAACTAGAAAAAATTAATGGTTTTTACTTTTCATAATAATAATAATTTATTATCTATAAATTCTTATACAAAAATAATGTTTTGATTGTACTGAGTTTCTCTGACAACCATGCAAAACATGGCTAAAGAAGTTTCCCATATAATAAACTTACCAATTGAAACATATCTATCAGTAGAGGGCAATAAATAAAAAAAAAACGACTGATGAAAACGTTCAAGTAAATTATTTAAACTGCGAAACATCCCTTCAATAACTCTAAAAAGAAAAAAATTTAGTTTTTGTCACATAAAACATTCCAATTTCAATTATTTATATAATAATTTCAAACCTTCCAACTTGTAAAACACTAATATAATCACCACGGCCTTTTTTTTCATGACCTTCTAATGTAATAGCTTCGATGCCAAATCTAAAATATCAATACAAATATTTCACATTATAAATGAATCGTCTCAAACAAAAAGTGATAAAAGTTCACTTATGAGCATTTAAATTTTTTTTGTGGTCTCTAAGTTTGATTCATGAAATGACCTTATAATAGGATGTGTAAGGTCAAAAAGCGGGATCTGATTTTTGTATTTTATACAAAGAGAAGCCTAAGGTTCAAGTTTTTAATTCTTTCTCAAAATATGTCTCGATGAACTTCCTTGCACGAGACAATTCATACAAATTATAATAAATGGATATTTTAATACTCAATTATAGTAAACTGTAGAAATAAGACCGAATAAAGATTATTTTTCAAAAATATACTTATTTAAATAACTACAATATTTGATTTTGGTCTCATTTCTAAGTTATAAGAGCTGCGAAATAAATTTTTCAATTTAAAGTAATATTTTATTAGCGACGTGAAGAAGTCAAATAATTAAACTCAATAATTATATTTCTAGAAATAGATAACTATTGAATTGATTATATTAAGCAATAATCTTAAATTTGTATTGTCTTAACTCTTTATATTTTTTTATTGATCTATACCTGTGAAATAATCCATGATTACCATCAGGGACTCCAGTAGCTTGAGTCAATACCATTGAAATCATTGTACTTAAATTTGTTTTGTAGTTAGTAGCTTTAGCACGCCCAATAGCCTATAAAATAGCTTGTTTATGTTAAACGTATAACAATTTGATAATTAAATAATTTCATACTCCTCCATCTTTGTTATTGAATGTATGCCTGATCGATTCCTTGTTGCATAATCGATGAGCTAAATTTACCAAATCTAAATTGGGTAATTGTCCATTTAAACCAAATAGCTTAACGTCAACATGATCAATTTTTTCAGAATGTATTTCTAAATTAAGGGCAGCTTGTATTGCACCCGCACGACCATTAAGTTTTCCTGCGTCTAGTATACCTGTAAATTATTTATTTTATTTAAAAACGTGCGTTTGCGCCCAATTACAACAATTACACATAAAAAACTATTGAATTAAGAACAACTGTTAAACATTAACATAAATACTTAATTAACCAATGGAAAAATAAGGGACTAAACTTGCAAGAGACATACATTAGTGTGAGGACTTGTTTAAACCGTAGTTCATAGTCAATAATTGTATGGGATCATTCTAGCCGATCGAGAATCTATAAAAGATGAACTGGGAAAAACGGTCTAAAGAATCGTCTAAGAATCTAATGTCAGACAAAAACTTATGCAAATAATCAATGTACTTCTGACCAGCTTTATTGACAGTAGGTACTCGCTTTTTTGGCATTTTGCATATTCTCATAACAAAAATGATGTAATCTACGGGTACACAATTTGTAAGGACTCACACATACATAGAAAAGCAAAACGTGGGTACACACAGTATTTAGGGTACCACTACAACATTGTTTTTTGGCATTAGTTCCATAATTAAAACCATGAATATAGGGTCGTCCATAACAATGCTGTCCATATGGTTTCCCTATAATTCTGATACACCTATGGTATATACTATACTAGTAAAATTATTAAGTAACAAATGCATAATATAAATTCTACCTAATGAGCCACAACAGGTTCCGTGATATGCTTCTAACCATGCTTGCATGCCGAGTTGTTCATGTTCAGTGACCAAAAATATAATATCTTTAGCCCAATATTTTTGCTCTGAAAATATTAAAATATTAAATTTGTCAAGTACTAAAAATTGTTTTAATTTTAATAGTTGTACATAATTTCAATTAAGTAAGTTTCGAATTTATCCACGTTGGCATAAAACATATGACTTGGATATATCCAAAATTTACTCAATTGATAAATCAATCCACGAAAGTTTTAACGCATTCATGTACATAATTTATTTATTCTTCGAAGTTGTAGTTTTATTCTTTAAAACTTGTAAAATAAATTTAATAAATTTTGGTACTTTAAATGAACGTCAAATTTTTTTTTGTAACTTACGGCGAAAGAATTGTGCGATTTGAAACATAATTGCAAGCCCAGGTAGTGTACTAGGAAAGATGCTCATTGGTGCCCTGTATGGTACACTCAATACTATTGATTCTGTACTTGCGCTTCTCGGAGCTCTTAAAATACCATAAACATTGCGCCCACTGTATTTCTAAAAATACAACTATAAATCAATTAAATGATTCAGGTATATATACATTTGTATATTCCTCCTTATTTATCTCACAGTATATAGACAATATTTCACCTATCAACTTTGAAACCAAGATGAGTTGAAAACTATTTTGCTATTTAGCGCTTTTTTTGAAAAATAGTTTATTTCCAAATCTTACCTTGCTACACAATTTTTTGACTTCCAAATCTAAGAAATCACATAAATATCTAGACATCATAATCAATATGAATAACATGCTTTCAAAAACATGGTCCTATCTCCCTAAATAAGATTTAAACTTGCACTCTTTTTCAGCATAACAACTGTAGAAAACACTTATCGCATTTGCAACTACACAGAATAACATCCTAATACTGAATGAATTCTATGAAATTAACTGTTCATTTTAATACTTTGCCAAAATAATGTAAAATATTTGCAATCATCTTACTGTATTTTTCTTTAGTGGATAATTCAACGTATAATTATGTGAATACGTTTCTAAACGTAAATTTTTAAATTTTGAGATCAAATATGAATGTGGCGTTTCATTTTCCATATGGTAAGCTTCTGCTTTAAGTTCTCGATAATGGTTTTTAAAAGATGTTCCTGTGCTATCACTGAGTTGACCTTTTACCAATCCAGGAAGAAGAGCATTTTCGGAAAAGTAAGTTTCTAAAAATTAAATGAAATAATTGAAAAGTTCAACTTGTACAATTAAAATCAGTAAAAATAATTTGTCTACTTACGTGAGCTGAAGCTATTGTGTGCTAAAACACAAAATAATATTATAGAAGCAATATACATCACAACAGAAAATCGATAGTGATGTCGTACAAAAATGCTAGTTAGGGCTCCATGACCGACTGATGGATCTGTCAAAAGCCCCATTTTAATGATTGATACTCTCAGCAACTGTAAAATAAAAGAAATTGGTCAAAATGTTATCTAAACTTTACAACATTTTGTAGTGTATAATATTAAGAGAGCAATATTCTACAACACAAAACTGAAAAAGATTCCTTAATGTTAAGTTACTTATAATTACACATATTGTTTTAATAATAATAATATATTCATATTTACATAAACATTTACCTAATTCAGACCAAGTCAAATATAAAACATTAGTAAGTTCTTAAAATGTATTATTTTTGAATTACATAAGATATCCTAGTTCTAAGCTCAAAGTAAACGACAAGTAAACTTATTGTAAACATTACTTAAGAAGTTAACTAAACTAAATAATTTTAATTCAAATTTATAAAGTGCATCTTACCAAAATTGATTCCGATACATGATAGTTAACATTTGTAAAATGCCATTCAATAAATTTAAATTCTTTCAATCTGAATTCCAAACATTTTGTTTTGCAAGTTATTACGAACTCGGTGTCGCCGGTCTTTGATTGCCCGCAGATATATTATTATATATTATACCAAATAGGTACCATTGATTTGATTATAATTTATAAATACAATCTAACATATCTAAAATGTCTATGGTGTGGCCTATTGGCGGTTTGATAATAAACGAAGATTAAATACATGGGCACCAACAGCCATTTTACGTGACATAACACTTCTTGTCGATATTCCTCATCTTTTACCAAAGTCTTCAACCAAAACAACAAATTCACCACAAATAAAAAAATAATTAGACGCATGAAGACTAGAAGAAGGGGAGACGCCCAAACTCAAACAGCCGCCCATTAGATAAAAGCCAAAAGTCCCGAAGAGAGTTGCACGATTAAACGGCCACCAGGTGCCGTGGCGTGCGGGTCCGTAGCTGATACAATATATTATTATGCAGTATGAACGAGTTTACATATATTTAGTTTATTCATAATAATTTATTTACAAAGCTATTGTTTTTTTTTTCTTAAGTATTAAATATATTATTGCATATGCATAGTATTAATTTTGTCTTTACAGTTGATTGTTGATGTACAAATAACCACGTTTAACGTCAGATTTCAAGTTGTATATTTTCCGTGCATTCATCAATGGGTTATTTTTATTTACACGTTGATGAAATGTATTTTCCCTATTATTTGAATATCGTTTATCATCAAAAAAAGATGCGCAACATAAAACGTTACGTCCTTAACCTTATTCGTTTTATAATGTACAACAAACACAAGTTAACGGTTACCTTTTTATAGTTGTTTTTCTTTAAGTTTGTTTTATGGCTAAATCTTGCTCTGTGCCTGGTCGTGTTACAAGCAATTGTTTAACAAACGAGGCTAATAAAAATAATTACATTAAAAATAAACGTGTATTTTCTGTCCCAAAGGTAAAGAGTTATACACTTATATAGATAATATTAATAATTTCAAGTTTCTTAGGAATCCAACAATATCATTACTAACCAGATAAAATGATTTACCTATTTTTTTTAGCTTATACTTTCTGTGGGTTCTTCATTCTTATAATATTCAAAGTTAATTTCTTTATAAAAATGTTGTCTTCACCAATAAACATCATCACAGTGTTTCTCTATCCTTTTTTTTTCCTAAAAAAGTCTTTTGGCACGTCATCAATACACTAATATTCAACACTTAAATAATAATAAAGAAAAACGTGTACAGTGGGGCCACAGGTCTTCAGGAATTATTACCACAGACTATATTAAAAGTATTAGTGTTATAACTTTAGCACGGCCTTAGAAGATATCTTCTTAGGCCGTGACTAAAAGTAATAAAATCACATTTCCATAAAAGCTTTGATACGAGTTAATCCCTCATTAGGTAGGTCGGGTCTATCAGACCCGAGCATTTTAACAAATGATAAAATAATGTAAAGCTAAATATTAGTAAAGCTTCAGATATTGATAACTTTACTAGCTGTAGTCGACACTCAACATCCCTATTAACCGTTATGCCATCATAGTTGCACTAAGTTATTATCACAGTATTTTTAAGCAGGTTGGTATAATATCCTATAGTCGTACATAATTATACATAATATTATCACAGTAGGTTCTACGGGGCACAGGAGTATGATCTGTGTCCTGTGATATTACTCTATTATCTATAAGGAATTACAAAAACTAAAAAAATGTATATTAGGAATCTTATTTTAAAAAACAATATTCGACGGGATTACATTTTGACAGATAATAGAAAAATAATTCTGTCATTCTGTGATGTTACCCGCTACCACCAATAACATTTTATCAAATCTAATAGTTATCGCTGCAAAAAAAAATGATTTTTGTATTTTATAATTTCCCTCCATTTTTACACGACAGTGATATCACTTTTCATAGATAACTATTACAAGGTATGTTGACAATGTATGATGAGCACAAAATGGCTGAAAATTTCCTCGGGCGGCTGTGTATTTCTTACGGAATACACCAGCGGCCGTGTTTATAAAATTGATAAGTTGCCGAGTCGGAATTACCTATTTACTTAGTCATGCAGATAGCTGAATAATGAATTTGATGAAATTAAATTTGTTTACTGTTAACTGTTTAGTGTTTACACTTAAGTTTTTACCCTTTACTTATTATTTAAATGACAACATTTAAAACATTCGTTATTTCAATTTAAAATTTAACCTAAACTATTAATTTAAATCGCTACTGGTATAGGGTATTTAATTTAAAAAAGTTATTATGGAAGAAGAAAGAACAACTGAAGTTGAGTAAGTTAATATTATTTAAGCAGGAATCATGTTTCTTGTCATCTACTTTTTAAAATTAATTTCCCAGTCCTTAAGTTTCACCATTTTTGTTTATCATTTAAAAGTAAACTTTTAATTTCAATGCAAAAAGTGTATAGTAAGACATGTATTCCTTTAGGTCATAATTTATAATAACTTTTTTATGGTAAGATTCGATTTATAAAGTACCTAATGTATAGAAAAATATTGAATAGTTTGGTTTAAAACTTTTAATTTAATTTATTTTACAACAAAAAACAAATACACTTTATCAAACACCATTTTTTTTGTGATTTTTTTTTTTTGTCTTTTTACTTTAAAAGAAATAGCCACAGAAAATAATTTATTGTGTTAAACTAATTAATAAACCGTATTAACATCAAACTGCGGATACTAGCAAAGTAGGCGCTATGGGAGTCCCATGCAAAAATAATTCTCAAAATTAGCTATTACTTTTAAACTCTGAATTTTTGACTTCAAATTTGCAATCAGTGTAAAAAACACTACAAGATAGTAAAATAAAATCTCACTTAAAACAAAAAAAGGTGGCCAGTTAAGTGCATTTGTACCAAAAAATAATTTGGGAACAAGTTTACTTAAACATATTGTCATAATTTTCTTTACGTAATTTTTAGTTATTTTACTGTGATTACAATTTCAAAGTAAGAAATCCGCCTACTCCTTTTGTTCTAAAACTTAAGCTACTTAAACTTTGAGAATTATCGTTGTGCAATTACTCGAGTTTATGGTGTGCGAGACAACTGCAGCGCCTATATCTTTACCCACTAATCACAGCGCGTTGGGGCGGTCAGCACAAAAGCGTTATTAAAAAAAAACTACCGTGAATGAAGATGTCACTGCACTATGGCTGTCTTGGTATACTCAAGTACTTGCACAATGGTAATTCCCAAAGTTCAAGAAGTTATTACTTTTGATCTAGAAGAGTCCACGGCTTTCTGACTACAAATTTATATACATAAAAAACACTATAATTTTGTAAAATAAATCACAAAAATAGGGTGCTTAAGAAAATAAATGTATGTACATTGTAATTTATTTATAGCAGAATTATGTTTAACAATTAATTATTATAGTTATATAATTAATAATTTATTATTTACTTATTTATTGAATTTTAGGAATTCCGGCAAAAGTGTTACAGTTCAGTGTGTCCAGTATCTCGTTTCATACCATTTAAAGTCAAAATGTTCTATTAAAAAGGATGAACTAATGAAAACAGTTTTTAAGGGTCGTGTAACGGGAAAGAATTATGAGAGAGTAATGGAAGATGTGTCATTGACATTAAAAAATGTACAACATTTAACCGATTAGTAATTTTTATAACAACCTTTTTATTATTTACCTTTTAATTCTCTTTGTTTATATGTCTTAGTGCCAAAATTAAAATACTAATTTAGTTAATTCTCACTTTTTTTATGCATGAACAGATTAAAATTCATAACTTTTTCTAAACCAGTAACTGCCTAGACCTCACTTAGCTAGCTTATTTTTTCCGACTCAGTCTGTTGTTAGTAGCACTGATGATGATAACCACATATGTGGCTTAAGTTTTCTCTAGAACATCCATTACCTTAAATCTAACTCATCAGGTAAAAATTAATTATTTGTTTACTAGGTTTTTGGGTTATCTATCTCATACATTAAAGACGACTGCAAACAGTTCATAATTGTAAATGATATTGAAGACTTTACAAGTAATGGTGAAAACAATTTTGATTTAATAAAGTACCGGATTTTATTGAAACCAGTTGTTGCAGCATTGGTTATGCTACTCGCACCTATTAGTGAAGGTTACATAATTATTCTATAAAATTAATTATTTAGTTAAAATAATATGTATGTTCATTTTTAATAACATTAAAAATAAAAACGTATTATTATATTAACAGGTCAAATGTGGAATATCTTAGAACGATTTGCCAGTGCATTTGATTTAGAAATGAATCAAATTAAAAAAGTGGTTAAAGGGGTAAGAATTTAACGTTAATACTTTTAATTAATTAGCTTGCCTTAAATTATAATTTAATCGCGCCAGCGGTGTTTACACCACCTTTACTGAAAAACAACGCACTGTATTTAAACTAAACGTTTGAGGTCAGCCTGATGTAACTTTCGCTAGTTGATAGATTATCAAGACAATAGGTGAAAGAAAAAAATAACTAATTTTTCCACGGCAAGATAGGAAGTGGTGTAAACACTGGGACGCAACCACCAATGGGATTTTCATTGGAGGTTGAGCATAAAACAAGATTTGAAGTTGTTTACTTTTAATATATTTCAAACAGAGTTGAGCAAATATTGAATAACAAATAAAAGGGAAATAGTGAAATAACTATTTATTTACCACTTTGACTGAATTTCAGCAATTATGAGCTACTCGATAAAAGTGTGTGACAAAATTTAAAACATATTAAATGTTGAAATAAATAACATTAATATTTACACAATTTAAGTTATAATTCAAGTTAAGAAATACATAATTCAATGAATAAAGGGATATTGTATTGGACTTATGGCCTTAGATACTCGGTCAGTTGGCTTTATACATTTTTTTTTTAATTAAAGCTATTTATTTTTTTATTTTGGTCTAAACTCCATTTTATAGTAAATTTCCCATCAAACATTGTAATTATAATTTAGCAAACATAATAATATATTAACAATTAATAGACCTGATATCAATTAACCCCATTCTATATAAACATTAAATGTTGTATATTATCAATCAGTATAATTTACTGTATAGTTGATCTCTTTATTACGTTCAATGTTAATAAGATATTTAAATACATTGGGTTAGGATCTATTACAATAGGCAGGATTCTGTCAGTGTTTGCCATTTCTTTAAACATTAGTTAATATAATAATATAATATAAATATATAATAATTATGCATTATTTAATATTACACACAATTTAATATTCCAACTCAATATGCAAATAAGAATTGTATACTGTATTTGTATTTTATAGTATTGATTTAATATTTTAAAATGTTACATTTAAGGATTTTGTAAAAGATCATTACCTTCACTATAAAGCAACTGATGATACTACCGTTATGCTTGATCCAGAAAAAACAAGTTACTGGTTTACTTTAGGTACAAGAGCATTAGTCGAGTTTGATCAAAATACGGTATTACAACGAGTTGGCGAGGTTAGTAAATAATTTAAAAGAAATCTAATACAAACTAAATTTAATTAGAAAATAAAATAGATATTATATTTTATTTAATAGTGACATCCCATAATGGTAGAAATACAGTGATGAAAAGTTTTAAATATTAAGAACTAAAAAAATATTTTTAAAAGCAAATTAAAACAAAAATAAAAATGTAAATTACAAAGACATTCTGATAAATCTGAAGTAGTAATAGTTAAGATTCGTATGATCAAATTTTTTAATTTTGTTAATTTTGTTTTTTTTTTGTTTTCATGACATTAGTTTAGTTATTTGCCTACTATCAATATAAATGTAAAATGTATAATAGTATGTTATTTAATTTATGTAAATAATTACGTTGCAGATTTTGAAAAGTATTATTTATCATTAATTCATTTATCTTTATTATAAAATTGGTAGAAATACGATAGGAGTGTTTAGGAATTTTAAACTTATGGTAATAGATTTAAAACAGAAAATGTAAAATGAATTATTATATAAATTAATAAAAGTATTAAATAGGGGAAATTGAAATATGAAAAGAGTGAGGACTTTTTCTTGAATAAATACAGGAATGAACATAAAATATTTTTCTGCTATAAGAGGTCACAACATCTTACGGCCATACTCCGTCTTAGTAAAGACATAGAGTTTGGAAAAATAACTTGTGTTCTCTATTCCTAACCACGACTCTGTATGTTGTTTTAAATAGGAAGTGGCCTATCCATTATTTTATTATCTATGCTTTCAATACCAACTTTCCTTACTGTGTTACCGAAAATGTTGAGGATTTGGTGCTCGACTCAGAGAAAGAGGAGGGAGTCTTTGCTCTTAGATATTGAGTTCTTGTTTTTTTAATTATCCAGAGATCAAGATTCACAGCAATATCCCTATCAACACCCTAAATATCACCTATCAGGTGTAATTTCAAATAATTCTATTCTTCTTTGGCAAGATGCTTTTCAAGTCCATGATTCTGAGCCATAAGTCACTAATAATAAATGATGACAGCGAGTAAGGAAAAAGTAAAGAAGTATGATATACTAGCGCTGTATAATGTACTTAGGAACAAAAGGATGAACTCGGGTTACAAAAATCGAAAGAAAATTAAACCAGAGGCTTAATGAATTTGTTAATGATAAAATTATCAAATTAATAAAAGAAATGTACACAGTACAAAAGGAAATTATAGAGACAACAAAATTAATGAATCACAGAGTTAAAAAAAAGGTTTATGAGTGAAAAAATATTGAAGGGTACCAGAAAATCAATTTGGGTTTATGTCAAAAACAGAGCCAATATTTTATAAAGACAATCAATTGAGACATTTCAGAATAAAAAAGGATAAATTAAATACATTATTTATTATAGAAATGTTAAGAGGTTTTTATTTTAAATAAAATAATGGTAGGAAAGGAAGAAAGATTTGAAGTAAAACGGCGGCTTAAAAGTAACGAGACCTAAAACAGACTTTTGTAATGATTAATAAGAAGATTTAAGTTAGAGTTTGAGAACCTGTTATGTCCTGTAAGTTCTCATTTATTTTGAATATAATTTCTTGAATTTCCAGAGTTATTCTTGAAAGCAATTTTTAGGAACTTTAGTTAATATTTGATACATTGATACAGTTAATATTAAAAATAAAAAATGTAGAAAAGTTTGTTTTAGTGTTAAAAGGAAATTTGTGCTATATCTTTAAACATTCCTACTAAATTAACTAGCTTCATTTTTATATTAAAAACAAACACACTTAACTTTACCCTTTATACTAATAAATGTATTGTCATAATTTGTTTACAGTTATACAATATACCTCCAAAATCATTCAAGCGTGTATACACTACATTGAATAAATAATATTTTTATAAATATTTTGTTTGGTCTTTAATATATTTGTTTAAAAATTATTATTTCTCGTGTCAAACTATTAATATTCATATTGTAAAAATGAACTGGAGTACATTTTTATTACCACTTCAATTGTTTAATAATATTAAATGTTATTTTTTTTTTAATTATGATTATGATAAGTTTCGTTGATTATTTATATGAAGACTTATGATTCAAATATAATATGACAAAAAAATAATATATTATTCCTGTTTTTTACACGATTGTCTTCAATGTGTTATGATAAAAAAATTAACTGGTAATTTATGTACAGTGGGTCAATAGAGCATTACTATTTTGTTATGGTTGAGTAATCGTGGTAGTATAAACGTGCCGTCATAATCTTCTTCGTGTAAGTAACATAATGGGCAATAGGTAGATAATGTTGTTAAAACAAAATTAAGGGCAGAATAAACAAACGGGCGTTTAGCTTCTTGACCTTAATATGTTTGATACGCCTTTCTCTTTCTCTGCATTTGAATTCAAATTAGAATATTCCGTTTATTTCGTATGTACAATATAATTATTGTTGCTGGACTGTGAAGACCTATAGACACGGTCCAGAGATTTCATGACTGGCGTCAAACGATGAACACATACGCGATATTTGGTCAGTACTCGCAGTGTTAAACCGTACATGCAGCCGAGCACTTGATTTTTGTCATTTAATTTTGTGTTATAATATTAATATTATTATAATATTAAATGTTTACAAATTCGAAAAAAAGTGAATTTGCCTATGCAATCGAACCAGAGGCCGCCGTGTATCAAATACACGATCGCAGAGGTAAGTGCATTTTTTGCTGTTTGCGTTTAATAAAAGTTAAATATCGTCATACTATAAGATGTGGTACCTACAAGTTTTTTAGGATTTTGATTGACAGGAGTCGTATGAATACCTTATTTAAAGTTCTTAACCTAACTTATAAGCTACTAAGTTGATATTCTTATAAAATTAAAAAAAAAACTTGTAACAGTTAACACCATTGATTTTAAACCATACAGAAGAACGGCGACCGATTTATGCGAGATTCCCGTTGGCAACATAGGTACCTTCGTCATAGCTTACCAACCGCCTGTCCATAAACAAATACGTGGGGAACCTCTCTTGCCAGTGGGAATCCCACATAAAGTAAGTTACCGTTCTTGTGTATAAAACCGCTTATATATATTTTAAATAAAGTATGGAAATATAAGAAATATTTCTTTAAAGGTTTATGGTGGTGTAAGACATTTCACAAACGGGTGATGATTTCAGTTGGTGTACCCGAATTACCTCCAAAACTAGATGGCTGTCCTTTTTTACTAGAATATTGCCTCCTACGTTATTATAATGCAAAGTTCTTACTTTTTTTCACAAATATACCTACAACTATAAATTGCAATAAACAAATCAAAACCCGCGGAGATTTTTTTGTTTCAATTTAAACCTGATAAAATATGTTTGGTAGGTATTTAACCAATCGGACAATAAAAAATAGCCAGTTGTGACTTGTCTTGTGATCAAAAGCATTTGTGTTGGCCTTTTTTTTAAAAAGGTTTTAGACCAACTCTGTTTTTAAATAAGTTGGTATTTTTTCATTTTTTGTTAGTTGTGTAATTCATAATACACCATAAGACCAACGCCTGGTGGGTATGCTTACTAAAGCTAATTGATTTTTTAATAAGGCAAATTATCTATAGACATTATTTTCTTACCTACTATTAGTGTGTCGCCCTAAAAGTGATTTAGTTTATTAATGCGTGGTTTACATTGTGAGTAATTAAAATTAGGATTCTTTAACTAAATTCCGTTCCCTTCCAAACACAGTGTGACATTTTAAAGTGGGAAATAGAAAATGCCACAATCCCCTGACCTACGCGTCATACACTGAATAGTTTTAATTAGATAAAACTACTCAAGTGATATACAAAGTGCAATGACATTGTTTGCCTGTTCCTTGTGGCGTCACGCTTGTTGATTTATGAGTAATATAATATAATTTAAAAGACAACCGAAAGAAGATTATTAGATTTGCTTTAGTAAGTAGAATATATCTACTTACTCCATAGTTACCATTATAAAATAGTCGCATATAACTTATAATTGTAGAAATAAATAGTTTGTACTAATATTTCAATAAAAAAAAAATTAAAAAAATAGTCGCATACCTATATAGGCTGAAGGTACTTACTGTTTATAATTATTCATAGTTATGAATGAATACCGCTACTCTACTTTGAAAAAATTGGATTAGGTTACAATTTATATCAATATTCACTAAATATAATAATTGTAATAATGTATGGCGTGGAACGTCCGTGTATAACATATACAGAGTAATCTATTTAAAGATTATTCTTAAAAAAAGTTAAGTAAAAAATTAACATATTAGGAACATTTCATTTTCAAAAGCTGATAGAATTAATTAATAAGTACTGCAAATATAATTATTTAGAAATTATTATACATTATTCTTAATTACAATGTATACGTGATGTATCTGAAGTGTTATTTAATCTCCGTGCCCCATGTCAAACAACACAAATAATTTAGATGGTTATCTTTACTTCCGAAACTCTTAATTATAGCTATATATATATGATATAATACCGTTTAAAGAGAAGTTGCATGTTATATAGTTACTCAGAAGTTAGATGCCAGATTGGTATCTAAAGAAGTGCCTCTCTATGCAACAAGTACTTTTAGCTTTCTCTCTGTACTGTTTATTTTATAAGCATTATTATACCTCGTACGATTACCTGAGTCTCAGAATCTTGTAATTACATAGTTTCCTCCAAATTTGTATGTATAGGACGTAGGTACCCAACACATATCTTATTCTTTACCTATTACGGGATTAATAACATATTATACCTCCCCAATTTAGAGCAGGTAAGTTAATTACAAAATTACTAATTGTAGCTGTCAAAGCCACAGATCATACACTTTAGTTGTAAAGGAGGATACATCATCCTTGTTGCTCCTGTCCGCATAAAATTAACGATTACCCTTTGGGCCTTGGGGTATTTGTTTTAGCGTCCCTATAGCTCATTTGCAATAATTTAACTGAAAAATTTGTAAAGTCCCTTAATGATAGTATAGTTTTATGAGAGATAGAAGCTGATGAATAAATAGGATAACTAATTATCTATGCTTATTATAGGCACAATTAGAGTCAATTTTTTTTTCTGAGGGAGAGTAGAGAGAATATTGTTTGTAATGATCAGTAGAAGCTTTGTCTCCCAAAGTTATTAAATGAATTACTACACCGCACGATTCAATGTACAATTGAATATCTCAATAAATTATAGCAAATACTTATGTACCATATTATTCTGATTACAAACGACAACAACTAAACAATTATTTAATTTTTTTTATTATTATTTAGTATTTTAGTTTGTAAAACAATTTTAAAACTGACAATTTAGACGAAGCATATTATAGAAATTTAAAATATACTTTATTGACTCTTTATTGTACAAAAATATTTATGAAACTTGTAGTAACTTGTATGTTAATTTTGAAGTTAAAACCTTCCAACATTTATATCCAATTGGTCTATTAATTTGTTACATATCGTAGTCACTTTGTATAAATTTAAAAGTTCTAACTTAAGCTTAACAAATCATAACATTAATTGTTAGTACCTACAACTTCATATTTTTATATTCCTACTTAGATATTTGTTATAAAATAAAATGTCCAAATTCAGAAATCGATCTCTTAACACAATAATAATAAAATAAAACAAATGGCTGGTCGATAACTAATTTTGATTTGTAATTTCCGGAGTCAAAACTCAAAAGTACCTATTTTAAAGTTTATTTATACTGGTTTAAATTTGATGTGTAGGTATAGCGTTCTCTTTATCTACGAACAATATTCACAAAATTTAAGTTAATCTAATTCGTATTATTCAGTTTACTTAAATAGTTGTTCCCCGCTATCTGTATTATAATGCTGTATAGTATACGTGTATATTGCATACGCTGTTTTTACTGAATATTAATTTAAAATTTGATATTTATAATTAAGACTATTTTTCTAGGTTAATAGTTGGTTTTTTTGTGAGTTTTCAGTTATTATAATTATAAATTATAATAAAATAAATAAAGGATCATTCGATATAAAAAAAAAACTGAAGCACAACCAAGAAGAACAATTCAATAATCATTAGTGTGTTTCTAATTTTATTATGCATCTTTTCTTTAGTTACTGTTTTTTTACTGTTATGTTTTGCATGGTTGGTCACGACCGCGATGTAATTACACACCCGGCACACTTTCTTCCTTTTCTTCAATTGATTTGATTTATATTTTATTCTTTCAATAGAACCACCAGCCATGAACATAGACACATACCATGAACGAAGAAGGGGACGGGTATTCGTTGATGATCCACTATCTAGTCTCGAACAAGAAATATTGCTGTTCAGGCACAACAATATTCAAAAATTTCAGCAAGGTATAGTAGTACAATTTTGTTTTGTCATTCCACTAAGCTATACACATATAATATGATAGAATAATTAAAACAACAGTTTTAGGCTGTGTTGAAGAAGAACCAGAGTATCAATTGGATGATATTGAATGTGCACTGCGATACAACTCACTCGACTCTGGAATCCCTCACGAATATGAAGAGGACGAAGTGGCAAATTCTATTAACACTACTTTGAATAGGTAAAACGATTTTTAATATTTAATGTTATTTTGTTAGTTAAAATAATATTGTGGTCTTCTAATATAATAGGCTGATATCATTATCCCTGGAACAACAATGCTTTCAACAAGAAAACGAGGGTGAAATGACCAGTTTTCGAGCTTTACCCGTTAAAACCAATGGTTGCTGTAGCCCTCAAATACTAAATGAAGCGTATAATCTAGTTGAAGAAGTATATGTCAATAGGGATCAATGTCATACAGAGCTGCACGCATTGGACGAATCCCCCGAAGATGGTATTATCGTCGCTGTTGATCTCGGTACAACATACAGTGGCTACGCGTATTCTTTTAAACGATCAGGGAGAATTAAAATGATGAAGAAACCTGATTGTATGTAAATTAAAATGTTTTTATTACATTTTTTCCACCTGGAAGAGTTTGTTAATATTTAATTTTTCTGGTTTTTAAATAGATGAATGTGAAACTATAAATGATGGTCAAAAAATACCAACAGCGCTATTGTTAACTCCAAATTTAAACTTTCACTCATTTGGAACTGCAGCACGTGATTATTATCATGATATGCATCCAGAAGAATCCCAAAAGTGGTATTATTTTGACAAGTTCAAAATGTTTTTGTACAATAAAGATGTAAATTAAAAAATTATTAAATAACTTTAAAATGGAAATTACTCTTATGTTTAATTATTTCAGATAATTTCCAAAGAAACCCATATAATGGCTTCTAATAATATACCACTTCCAGCCACTCGAGTATTAGTAGAAGCATTGCGACATTTAAGGCTTTTAATATTTGATGAACTATCTTCAAGATGTTCCGAAGCTATAAATCCAGATTCAATTACATGGGTTTTAACTATACCAGCTATATGGACTAAAAATACTAGAAAACTAATTAAAGATATTGCAATTGAAGTAAGTAAAGAGTTGCAGAATATAAGTTGAATAAAAATAAATCATGTGTCTTAGTATATAAATGTGATTACTTAATATTGGTAGGCTGGAATGGGAAATTCAGAAAATTTACATTCCGTGTGTATAATACTGGAACCTGAGGCAGCGGCTGTGTACTGTCGCAATATTAGACTTAAGAACACAAAAATACTTTCAACAAATTGGTTGGTAGATGCATATGAGACTGATTACTGTGTGTTAAATGAAGTTAATGAAGGTAAATATAAATTTTAGTTAAAAATATTGAGCAAAAATTCAACCAAATTTGTTTGTATAATAAGTTTTAAAAAACATTTTACCTATGTTTTATAATTGTATATCTGTAGGTTGTAGCTATATGGTAGTTGACTGTGGTGGTGGTACAGTTGATATAACAGTACATCAAGTGTTCCGTACTATAAACCGATTACCAATCAGTAAACTCCAAAAGCCATCTGCTGGAGTCTGCGGTTCTCTAAGTATGGAATTATAAATACCGAATAATAATAAATAAGTTTGATAGGTTTCAAACTTATGCAAAACTATTAATTTTTTTCCAGAGATCATTTAAAAAAAAATGTTTACTTAAAAATATTTTTAATTGTTTATGACCAAAACCTTTTTTTAATCCAGGGGTATCCCAGTATTTTGGGTACTACCCAGGTACAATACTATCTTTTTTTCTTATACTACCTTTATAAAAAATTATATAAAACTAAATAAGATTCAAAATGTTTTGTACCTAAGTAGGTACACAGGTACTTGTGTATCGAAAGCTCTACCCACAATCCTATATTATCAATTTTATTTTTATTATTTAGGTGTAGATATAGAGTTTGTAAAACTTTTATGTGCATTATTTGGTTTTGGATTTATGTCTGATTTTAAACTCCAAAGACCTGCTGCATATATGGAACTACTTCAGAGGTTTGAAGAAGTAAAAAAAACAGTATCTAGTAAAGTGAGAGCTCCAATTGTTATTCGGCCACCATATGCATTTATAGAACATTATATGAAATATTCTGAAAAAGATGTTAGTACTCTATATATAATTATACAAATTAACTTTTTTCTTAAAAAATTAATAAATATTAAAATGTTTAGGTATCTGACGCTGTAAAAGATTATGGATGTGACGCAATTCAATGGAATGAACTAGATGGTGTATTTGTGTTGGACTATTTAGCTGTCGAACCATTATTTTTACCAAGTTTTGCATGTATTTCAGAAGTAAATTTCAAAAAGAATTAATTAGTTAATAATTAATGTCCACACCAATAATGATAGCTTTTTTTTGCTAAGCTTTAAGATCCATAAAGGGCCATCTTTTTCTTAACATGCTTTTTAGCTTATTTTGGTATGTGCTGTTAAATAAAAATGGGCCCTTTGGTGGCTCTTTTACACTACATAAATTTTGGCTTAGTGAACAAGTGTCGAACAAATGATAGTTTATTTTTTATTGTAATATACAATGCATATGTGGATAGGCTCGCCAACGTTTGTAAAATATATAACATCCCTTAAGTCTTAGGGGCCTAACTATTGTCCCCCCCTAAATACATTTTTGGCTATGGTACTAAATGAAAATATATTTATATATCATAAATTAACATTAAAAATTGTTTTAGCAAATCAGTGTCATAGCCAACGACGATCAGAAAGTAACGCATATGTTCTTAGTCGGAGGATATGCTCAATCCTTATGGCTTCAAGAAAAGATTGTTGAACGTTTTAGTGATCGTATAAAAATAATTTTACCAGATCAAGCAGCAGTTAGTGTTCTACAAGGTGCTGTTATGTGCGAGTTGAATCGATCAGACATACCAGCTTATAGAGCAAAACATAGTTATGCTGTTGGAATTATCAAGCCATTTATTGACGATACTCACCCTATTGGTAAGAACGAAAAAATTTTAATTCAGCTTTTTGAACTTATAGTTTTAACTTCAATATCGATGGCATAGTACACCTATAATTCATTATTATAATGACACAATAACTTGCAAATTATTTCCTGCCTTAACGCTGCAGTTTCTTGACAACATATAGGTAGCAATCTCAAGTTCATTAATGGTGCTTGGTTTAGACGATATGAGAGGTTTTTTGTTGCTAGAACTTAAAACACATTACTAATACATCCTTTTTGTTTTGTTCTGAGTTTTTTTATAAAAAGTTTGGATTTTATCACTGTATGCTACTTCCTTTTTTAGTTTATACCAATAATGACTAATATTTTTTTCATTATTGCTTTAACATTTGCGGCCATAAGTGGTATTCAATAAATATATGAATATCTTTAATTTGAATTAAAATTTCAGAAAAACTTGTAGTAAAAGATGGTAAACGATGGTGTACGGATCTTCTGGATTATTTAATTGAAGAAAACGATATTATTAGAGATAACGAGACGATTATAAAACGTTACACACCTGCAAATCCACTGGAAGGCTCTATTGTAATAAATATCTATCTAGTGCAAAATAATTTAGCAAAGGTGAGTAAAATGTAAATTAATGATATTGGAAATAATAATTTGTATTTTTAGTTTGTTACAGATAGTGGTGTATCTAAATGCGGTTCTTTAAAATTATCTAGGGACGAAAACATTCAGCTTTCAAAAGAATTATTAGTTCAAATGGGATTTGGTGGTCAAGGTGAAGTAGTAGCTACCGCCCTAGACTTATCAAATGGCACTCGTGTTGATGCTCAGATTTCGGAAACTGATTGCTAAATATAACTTGTAATATATACCTATTATAATAATTACAGTTTATGATAAAACCTGTAAAATTATACTCGAAAAAAAATGATTAATTATTGGTCCTATTCATATCATATTTAGGTTCAATTTCCTCATCCTAATTCTAAAGAAAAAGATGAATTATAATATATAAATATTTGTCTTAGAGTTTAGACTATAGATCAGTAAGGGTCACTTGACACCTTTAATTAGTTTTCAGCCGTCCAGAGTTTAGCTAGTTGTTCAATTTTATACTTTAGCTAGACGCTAAATGTCCAAGTTTCACAATTACACATTTCAAAAAGCATAATAAAATAATATTGTAGGATATTAACATATAGTTATAAAATTACTTATTACAATTTCCTTCGATGTAAATCTGTAGATGGTAAAAGGTTAACGTTATAATCACACTATATTGCAACACAACTCACAAGTCGTGTGTTTATAATTTATGGAGGAAAATGCTAATCGTATTTTTTTTACTTTTGTTTATTATAAAAACACCATAGGCAAAAAAAAACATTTTTCTCCCTTTATTTAAATACACAATGTATACCCCTAGGTACATTACGAGTATAAGCTAGGAAAAAACATAAAAAACCTGAACAGTTTGATGAAAGCATTAAGCAGCCACCCATTGATGGCACTTCCTATGTGTATTTATTTATTTATTGTTATTACTTAATATTAACGTAGCAAATCTTTATATCATTTGCGTTTGAGGCGTCTTGGAAGTTGGAGGGTTACAAAAAAAAAACTTAAAAATATCACTTGAGTCTTAAATTGGATTTAGTTACTTTTAGCCTGTATTTATCATTCGGATACATTCTGATCATAGAATCTTATTTCAACACCAAGTACATTTTATTAAACACCTAGCCGCGATTAGGTACTCAGCATTCACCCATAAATGTACCTATAAATGTCCACGCGTCTAACAATATTAAATATGGAATATTTTGAAATTGGTCGAGTTTGTAATCGTTACCATAGTAACTAAAACACGAATAAACAATAATTACGCGTTTTATAATATTCCTCCCAAATATCGATCTTGACTCGTTTGGATAATGTTTAGGCACCTATGGGCGATGACCGACTATATATTTTGGGTTGGGTTTTACACTAAAATATACCATTATTGACTATTTAACTTCATAGTTCTGAGTTTTGAAGTGTGGACTAAGGTTATTAGACTTACGATCACGGTTTAAAATATACTTGAATTAGTATATCATTTAAAACCGTGTTTACGATTAATGTCTTAAGAAAAATAATAAAGACTAATCGTAGTTAGATTCAGTCGCATAGAGTCTATGCCATAGACACTTTATAAGTTACGTCGAACGATGAACTGAGGTTTTGGATTGGCTTAGGTTACTAAATTATAAAGTTGCATGCTCATTCGTTACCGCCTTATCACGAACCGTTCAGTAACCATAATATCTATTAAACTTGGTTAACAGTGGTCTATGGTTAAAACCGGGAAAACGAATTCTTATCACGAATAAACTGTCTAGAATCCAGCGGTTTTATCAAATAACCAATTTCAAATTGCCGTTGCTCGTTTTCGTAATTGGTAGATAAGTATACATAATGTTTTTAACGTTAATGATTTTACATTTCGGGTCTTACTTTTTACAAATTACAATAAACTGGCATCACTCAACATTTCAGTTGTAAAAGTATTGTACTGAACTATAGTTAAACTCAGTTTTGTAACTTAATTCATTTGGATGGTACCTATATATCAGTGACTTGTTTTTTTTCTTATAGGTAAGTTACATCATATTACAGATTAACAATTTAATATGTAACATTTGCGTATCCTTTGTGTTGTAAATTGTAAACATATGTTATTGATACAATTACAGATATTTATTATGCCAAGTTTACCTCCTCATTTTAATGGAAGTATTAGTGGTACTTTAACATTATCCGTTTTGAATATTTCATTGTATAAAAAAGATGCTAGAAATATTTATGCTCAATTTCAATGGAGTGGAAGTTCAGACTATAATAAACTTGTGTAAGTTTGTATGTTTAATTTGTAAACCCTCATATTTTTTTACAATAATAAATCTAGTAATTTGCTTTCAGATTGTCTAAGTATAGCAAAGTCACATATGATGTTCGCGCAAGTTTCAGAATTTTTTTAAACTATTTGACGACATGCACTTTAAAGTGTATTATAAAAAACTATGAAAATAAAATTATCGCCCAAGCATCCATTCATAGTTTATCAGTAGTAGTTAACAATAATCATACAGTAAAAAGTGTTCCTTTAGTTAACAATAATAAAACAGTAGGCAACATAGAATTTTGTTTTATGTTACAAAATTTTCACGATACTACGTTTGACAATGATATAAAATATTTGGAAACATTTGGTATCCAAAACGAAGTTTTTAATGTTTTTCACAATGAGGAATTTAAAAACTCAAATACATTTAATTGCAAGAATAGCTCAAAACCTACTAGCTCCATGTCATCTAAAAGTATAGATGAGCTTACAAGTGATTATTTACTGGGTAAGTTTAAATATAATCTTCTCATTCCTATTTGGTCTTTAATATTTTTATGTTCATTGAATTCTCAGGTAAAGATTTGGCACCTGAGGAAGAAGAAGAAGCTCTTAGTACTCTAAGGTCAATGCCTACTGCTGAAAGTATCATTAGTGCAGCAGAAAAAGTTGGTATTTATTCACCACCTCTTCATGATCAAGTAATGAAAAACTTTATAAAAATCCATATAATTTATTACGCACTTATACTATATAAACAAGATCATAAATGCGTATCTTTTTGTCTTCAAACAAAATGTGACCTTAGATTTTCTCTAACATGTCGTTATTTTTTAAATCACCTCCAGTTTTAAAATTTTGTTTTGTAGTTTTTTAGTTTGTTTTGTATGTTAAAAGCATTTTTTATAAAAAAGGTATTTCAAATCCATTTTTTTTTCTTTTTTGAATTCATAACTGGCTTTAAAAAAGGTTATTAATTTGTAGTCTTGAAGCATTATAGGAGATAATGAGATAGTTTTATATTTAAATTAATTAACAAATATTAAATACAGTATTTTTTTACTACAATCGTATTATATTAATTATTATATATTAGTTTTAAACTATTGTTAAAACCATGAGTGTATTTGTTCATCAAATGTTTGTTCTTTTACTTTATAATTCTGGTATGTTATGTCGTGAAATTTAACATTCACCTTTTTTATAGGGCGATTCGAAAACAAAAGCAAATGTAATAACCATAGAACCAAGTATAGGCATCTCCAAAACGGAATCAAAAAATTGTAAACCAAATTACTACAATTTAAAAACAACACACAGAAGTAATTTTGATATTATTTCTTTTTTGTTATACACTAAACAATATTAAAAATTACAATTTTTTTTATTTCAGTGAAAATTCCAAAGGATGATGTCTATTTACATTTATCAATTATGTCTTTAAATATTTATTACACAAGCAGATCTCTACAAAACTGTACGTTTTGTTTGTTTCTAATATTTGTAAAACTAACACTCAAACGACAATGATAATATAATAAATAAAAAACTGTTTTATTTGGTTTTAGATGTAAATACCACATATTTTATACAATGTCTCAAGGACCAAGAACCTTGTAAATCAATAAGGTTCATGTCTAAACAAATGGAAAATAATGGTACATACATAATATAATACTTATACTATTTATATGTGTGATAATTTCAAATGATTTTTTTACTTTAGTCATTAAGTTCAAAAAGAGCACTTTATCTTCACGACTGGAAGGGTTTTCAGCCAAAGGTATCACTCTCAAAGCATTTGTGCGTGTTCTAAGTGAAAGAAGTCCCATTATACTGGGTGAAACTAAATCTATGTTGGACTGGACAGATTTAGTTACTGAGTTTGGTGCTCCTCGTTATATTAAAGTTCCAATATGGCATAACAATAAAATAACGGGACATATTTCACTATCGTATGAATTTTCCAAAACACCAATAGTTCAAGATTGCCAAGAAAGGTTTACAGAAAAAATGAATGTACAAAAGCCTCAAGCAATTCCAAATGAATTTGAATCTATTGAAAAGCCTGTATTAGAATCGCATGGAAATAATAATAAAGAAAAGTGCATTTCATATAACGACTCATTTACAAACAATCCGTATCTTTATAGTCGTTTGTATCCTGAATATGACACAGGTTTTGCAAGAGCACAACCTCAATTGAAAAGTTTTTCCAGAGAAGAATTAAATAAGGGCACTAATGACAAACATGTGCAGGCTACTGAAAATATAAGACAGTTAAATAAATCTGTTCAAACTAATGTTAAATTATCTAATGTGGCAGTTCAAGTTGACATGAAAGAATTTGAAAACTCATTTGATAGAAATGTTAGTTGTGATGTACAAAACATATTTCGTTGTACCCATGAGTTGACATTGTATATTGAAAAAAAAATTGACTCTCCATTCAACTACGTCACTTACCAATTTCCAGAAAGTGTTACCGATAATACTGGCAAAAGTAAATATAATAATATTACTGATATAAAACTCATTAAATATATATTTCAACCATTTTACTAAAACATGCATTATATATTTTGTATTTTCAGTTATATCACATGACCGTACGTTTAGATCGTTTGGTAACACAAACATTCTTCATCTAATAACACTACCGACAACAATATCGTTGGAAACCTATTTTTATAAGAATTGTAATAAAACAGCAATAACAATGGCATTACATCAAAATAGCGAACATTCTATTGGAAAGGTATAACTGATTATTTGTAATAAAACAATGACCAACAAATATTAATTTTATTTATTTTAATTTTTTAGGCAACGCTTCTTATTTCCCACATTATTGACATGGCAAATGAATATGAAAGCTCACACATAACAAAAGATTTTGTTTTATTTCCAAATTACATTGTGCGTGATATTTGTCAAAGTGATGTTCACATCAAAATACATTATAAACGGGTTTATCATTCACTTCCGAGCCCCAAAAAACCACTTTTAAAAAACTCTAGTCCTAAAAAGTCAGTAAAAAAAAATTCACCCACTTTTGTCGATCTTACTGAATCTGATTCAGAGGATTCACCAATCAATAAAACGTTCACACTTGGCAAACAAGGAAACAAGTATTCGACTCTAACCATTGACAATAATACTCAAACTACATCTGTAAAATGTACTCAAAGTAGTAGTTCAACTCAAACTGAGAAAATTGATAACCAAAGTATAATAATTAAAAGTGATAGTGATAGCGCCACCAGTGTAGAATATGACACACTTTTGTGACGAGCAAAAAGATCGATTCTATTGAAGTTAGACGGGAAAATGACATTTATAATAAATTTGATGACAGTGATATTTTCAAAGCTAAGATGACCATTGTTTGTGGGTATAACTTACCAATGGTGAAGTTGAACGGTGATTCTACATTTACAGCACCGACCACTTATGTGTTGATGGAAAGTTACGGTGGTACTACTTTAACGACACCGTCTGTTGTTCAAAAAATTAATCCTATATGGAACAGTGAATGGACAATTCTACTGCCAAAACATTTATTGATAGAAGTATGGAATTGGTTAATGATAATAAATTCAAATTTTACACACTTAGAATCTCGGTAATAAAATCAATAAGGATTATTAAAAATTGTAACTAAAAGTAAAGATATTAAAAATTATAAAAAAAAAATTATTTTTTGCGTTACGACTTATCACAGTTAAAAAGCGATATTTATTTGAGTTACCGAGATTCGACTTGTTAAGAATCAACTATATTGTATTACTATTATTTTTAAAAAAAATTGTTTAGGAAAAATGGTTAATACTAGAATTATGGTGTAAAAAGTTCCAAAATGAGTATGCAGGTCACGATCCCAAACGTGATTTGAGGCTCGGATTTATATTTTTGGATTTAAGTTCACTTAAATACGATTTAAAACACGCTGGTGGATTATATGATGTAATAAGTGAAACTGAAGAGTATCATGGAAAAATTAAAGTAAAATTATATTTATAATATTTTAAAACAATGTTGATAGTAATACATTATTATTATACCATACTACAGGTTATTATTGATCCGCTCAATTGTAGTAATATACAAAAACAATCTTCTCTGACATCAAATAACCAACTGAATATAATTAATCGCAATAAGTCGTCTGTGAACTCAAACTCTGAAACTATTTTCAAGTAAGTCAAAATTTCATGGACTAATAATTTCATACATCAATACGATAAGTCTTGATATAAAAAATATGGCCTTTTGACAGATCGGTATTGCCAATTTTAAGGTTCTATTCTTGATATTACAAATTCTAATTGTCATAAATTATCACCGTATGTGCAGTGCTAGCAAACAAGTACAATTTTATAAGTCGTTTTTCTCGTATTGGCAGATTTTGAATTATTATAATGTTAGTGCAATTTATTCTATAAAATAATTGTTTTAGCTGTATTTACAAAAAAAAAAAGGGTTTTAAATTACAATTGTAAACATTATTTGAAATGGTAGTTTTAGAAGCAAAACTTTAGAAGTTAAATTTAAGTATGCATATAATTTACATTAGATAACATATTCATTTTGCTCTATCAGTTGCAAATTTTAAATTTGTACCTAGCTATATATATTTTAAAATAATAGTTTTAATATAAAAACTTATTATTTAAATATTAACATAGAGTGTTTATTGAAACCTGTTTGTTTTATCTAAAACAATTATTTTACAGAATAAACACTGATCTATGACATTTTAAATGTGTTTTAAACTAGCTGTCAATTTATTAGTCCTAATGACTCGAAATAAGCAAATGCATTTAAATATGCATTGAACTCGCAGTATAGCTGTATTTGTGGTAAAAAATAAAACTTTAGACCTTTTTATTCAAGTTTTAGTTATGTCATATTTCATGCTACTTATTAAAAAAAAAACATTATTTTCAGAAGGAGAACTAACAAACCTGAAGACCTTGCCAAATTGAAATCTGTTAAATCAAGTATTACTTCAACCAAATCAAGTAAAGAAAAATATTGTGATCACATAGATCTAACAGGGCCTGATATTGACGAAACTACAAAAATGTTCAGTGGGATTTCATTAAAAAAAAAAGCCTTTGAATACAAAAAAAAATGTGATTCCAGTTCTATTACATCGTGGACCAGCTCATCTGATGATATAATATTGTGTTCCGAGAATCCTCAAGTAACATAACAAAATATTAACTAATTAATTCTATTTTAATTATTATATTGATATATGTAATTCAATTTATGTTAGTTTATAAAATATCAAATTTATTAACTGAAATAGTTTCAGTTAATGAATGCGTACTTAAACAACGGAATGAAACTGAATCAAATCAAATGAATTATTCAAGACTGAGATATAACTTCTAATAATTGAGTAGGTTCTTCAAATATTTGTAGTATATTTCCTAACTGACAACTAAGTATTTCAAAATTGAATATTTTCAATTTTTTAGTTTGTGAATTTTACTTGATTATATTGACTCGGAATCCAAGTGATTTTTGGATTCCCTATATTATTTATTAAATAATAACATTATAAAAACTACTTAAGTGTTACCAATCTTGCTTTTGTAAATTAATGTTAACATATCGTATATATTTTTATTATATTTTTGACAATAAATTGTATTCTATATTTTTATACTTATAAAATTGTATTTGTTCTTTGTACTCTGTTTTTAGTCAGAGAAAAAAGTTATTTCCTTGATGGTGTTCATACAAAAAAAAAAGGGGGATTTTACTATAATGTATTAGAGCAGAAGGGATTAGACCATACATGTTATAACCTCTATACAAAGGGAAATATAGTTGTACCAAATTGTGGTTGATTTCTTATGAACTGGTACCGATTTTTGGTTATTGCAGGTTATTCTTAATAAAACCCCTTTGTATGCCGTCATTAAATGATGGTTTGTAAAATGAACGATAGTTAAATATATAATTCTTTATTTAGTACTAGAAATTCATAATAAATATAATTATCGTAGAAGGAAGGTTGAAGGCTGCCGTCAGTGGTTCATAAGATTATTTGATTAACCCGTAATGTTGGTTATTACTTTTAAAGGTACATGAGGTTTTAGGGTAAACAAAATTAAAATAACAATATCTTTTTTAATATAAAAAAAAAAGTTTCTATAAAATCATTTACATAAAAACTAATATTCTCAGTATACATTTGTTTATAATTGTTGAAAACACATTTAATTAAACTGAAGTCGTCTATTTAGAAAAATAGTAATTTTACAATAAATTAACTAATTATAAGTTAAAAATATTTGTATAATAATATATAGATCACAATCAATCATCAATCTATTAAAACTATACAACAGAAATTAAAACATTTCTAAAATACTCTTTTAACAGTTCAATATAGAATTTCTTACATTTTACAACCTACAATTCCAGGTACACAACCAATTTGGACTTATGAGTAATAGTTTTCTCTCTGCTGATACAGCGGAAGAGGCTCTTCAGGAGATAACTCTCTGTCTTCGCTGTCATTGAGACACCTTTCGCTTCTAGTCTTCTGAGCCATAGCGTTCACTAGTAATAAAAAAAAAATGTGTTTATTTAACAATTATTGTATTTTTGACAAAGTTAAAACAAATTAAAACACACCTCATGCTAGGTATCAGTCTCTAGTATTTGTGGGGCTCGCACCTACAACAACAAAACGATCTACTCAAGCACGACAAACTAAAAATAAGTTATACAATAAAATACTAGACAAGTGACAACAAACAAACATGCACTTCTCAAAACATTAAAAAACCGATTGTATTATTATTATTTTTTAAAAAAAATTTTTGTTACAGCCAACAAAACTAATCAATACTTACAGGCAACTGCTTTACTTTTTTCCATGACTTGTTGTGCTAATATTTGATTCAACTGCAATAAGTGGTCTCTTTGTTTTTTTTCTTCCATCATCTTCTTTCTCCCAAAGACTGTATGCTCATCGATCTCGCCTTCTAAACCGATGAAAAATAGTTAAAACGTATTATTAATAAATGGATGTCAAATTAGAAATGTAACAAAAATATGTGTTAAAAAACAATTTTAAAGGGGGAAAAAAGTCGTATTTTATCTCATTCGGTATTGCTTTTTTAACTATCTTTTTTACTGTCCTACCCTTGATTCTGATAGGACTCAGTACTTAAATTATCTTTCTCTACCTAACACTCATAAAATTATCGACTCTTTTTTTAGCCCTATTATTTTATCCATATTATCCTCCTTACAAGCATGGGTATTCGAATTCCCAGTTTGGTAATAATACCAAAAAATTATTTATTGCATTTGTTTATGTAATTTAAATAATACAACGATAGCCGTAACCGCACCCACCCACAGCCTAACCCAACCGGGTGCTCAGTCTATTAGCATAAATATCAAGTCCCACTCCTGATTCTTATCATTATATTTTCTATTATGAGATTGTCCATGGCTTAAATATACAAGGTTATTGCATATCCCCACTTTATTATATTATCAATTCATAAAATGAAGGGTACATCATTGCTTATTTGATAAATACATAAATAATACCTTTATAAAAATTAAAATAAATGAATTTGATTGGCCAAACCTTACGCTGTCAATTTTTTTTATTGTCGAAAATTTCGACGAAGAAGGGATAGAAATGCAATAACCTGGTATATTTAAATAATGAGCTTGTCTTTCCTTATCAATCACTATTCTTAATACTTAAATATTTCCCCCATCAGCTGATATTCCCACATTGCTCCTTATTTTTATTTACCATGATCATTTTTTTTGTTGAAAAATGCTAAAGCAAAGATTTATTCTATGTTCAAAAAAACCGTGCGTTCAATAATTTGGTTAGCTAAATATTTAGGTAAGTTAGGTAACCTGAACTAAGAATAGGCGTGGATTCTGATAACATTTTTCTAATGGCTTCAGCTTTGTGCATTCTTTTTTTACGTTCATCTGGTGATACCGGAGCTGATTCTGGTATGTACCGTTCTGGTATGCATATTTTCCCTGGTGTGCCTATTATACTGTCTATAGTCTCAGCATTAAACCGTGTTGGTTCAGTCTTATTCATAGTAGAACGGACCACATCCGGAGCACCAGGTCGCAAAGCTCGTTCCATATCTACATCATCTCGCGATCTCCAACCATCTCTCTAAAAGATGCATTTCAATTAATTATTATATTATCAATCAATTTAGAGTCATTCTACGTGAAATCGACACAACAATTATTATAATATTAAAGTTTATATTCGAATAGAAACAAGTTCAATCATAAAGCGTTTCAGTATTATAACTGAGAAAAACAAATTAAGATAGTTTTACTGTAATTCGTAAATTATGTCAAGTATTATAATATAATGTCTAATTCATACAAAAATGGGAGAAAATAGACTTAAGATTGTTTGGACATGAAAATACACGTTTTCTATATTATTTCCTTACAAATATCTAGTTTAAACAAAAATCGTCGTAGTTCAAAAAATAATGTTTGTATAAATTTCACATGGAATGACCATTTAATCAAACTAGTAAATAGTAATTAAATTTTATAACTTACGTTATAGGTATCAGCGATGGGAAGTGGTCGAACACTGGTAACTGTGTGATGTCTACGTTTTTCTCGGGGTATTAATCTTTTAGTTAATTGTTCATTAATACACGTCTTAATGTTTTCATTTCTGTCCTTTTTCGAAAGTTCTTCGACAATTTGCCGAGCAGCTTCGCTTTGATACACTGGGGATAATGGCGCGTCATCGTTTGGAAGTATAGCTGATATATCTTCAAAGTTCAAATTCGAGTACATGCTGTAAGAGTTATTATTCGTCATGGGACCAAATAACTGTTCTTGAGCTGATAACTTTTTCGCATAGTTTTCGTCGGCCTGTAATTAATTTTAATAATTACCCATATATTATTTAATGAAAAAGCAGTGTTTAACATCATATTATACAATTAACGATTTCAGTAGATAACTTTCATGTTAACAACTTATTAAAATTTGATGGCAACTTAATTTTCTTAAAGACGTATTATTTTATGTTGTATTTTTTTTGTTTTTAAACATTTAGTGTAATATTAATAATAGTGTTTTTAAACATGTAAACGGAATATACTAATTTAATTGAATATACGTTTATTATCATTACTCGATAATCTGCTTCTTCAATGACGGGTACGCATTTGACAGTGACGCTCGTTAATGGAAGACCAATATTACCACTACACTTATCTCTCTGGCGTCTCTCGGATTCCCGTTTGACAATTCTGACAGTCTTGATTTCTTGCGGCTTTTCTCTTGGGGTGTAAACTAAAAACAAATGCCAAAAATAAACGTGGAATTTAAATAAAATAATAGCTATATGTCGCTGTTGTTTAGTGTCAATAGTAAAAACGTACATTTTATATTGTCCTCTTGCATAGAGTCATCAAGATCGGTTTCCACCCATGAATCGTTAGCTGGTCTTTTTTTGCCTTTTATTTCACTTTCGCCGCTGTTCATCTGCATCGTTAGCGTATTCGATTTTTCCGTCAGTTGGCGCACCTGTACACTGAGGTTTTCTCTTTGCCGCTGCAAATCTCCAACCAACAATTGTACTCTTCTAAGTTCAGCCTCCAACGCAGCTACCGTAGGTCCTCCGGCGCCTGTGTCGTGTATTCTTCTGGACGATTGCAATTTTTGACGCAAAACTACCAGTTCGGATTCTAACCTTGCGTTAGCTGCTACGGTCTCTTCCAATTTCTAAGGAAATGACAATTTTCTGATTAATTGTAAAACATAACCTACGCCTTATCTAATAATTAACATAGAATATGATTTTTCCGGTGCACTTTTCAAAAAATAAACGGAAACCCGACACGAAAAAACAATATAGGAGTAAATCAGCTGATTAGAGATACAACAGTGATTAGAACGATGGTTCAAAAGGAGAAATAGAGGAAATCTGCTAAAAAGAGATAGGGTTAAAACGGTGATTCTAGCGAACAATAGGGAAATTAGACGATAAGATATAGCAATAAGAATGATGATTGGAGACGTGTGATTGATACATATAGATAATAAAGAATGGATAAACTACAGAATAGAATGAATTAAATTCTATTCTGTGGATAAATTCAATGTTTTAAAATTTCATACCTATGTAGCCCAAAAGTTTTTTTTTTTAATAAAATATTCTTACTTTCGAGTTATTGGCTAAAACCGATCTCACTGCACTTAATTCTCGTTCCAACACGTGTTGCTGTCTTCTGTATCGTTCCTCGTCGGCTGGGTTATGTGTTCCTTGCATTTTATGCCTAAGACCGCCTAGTGCTTTTTCTAGTAACTCTTTATCTTGTCTCAAGTGCTGCAAGTTTCCAGATTCTTCTTGCATTAATTGATCAAGGTCGTATAATCTGTCAACTTTCTCTTGCAAATCATTGATATTCGGTTTTATTCTCAGCCATTCTTTACTTTCTTCTTCTAATAGACGTTTTTCTTGAACTTTATCATTGAACTCGAGACGTTCTTTCAATATAGTGGGTGTAGAGAGACCATAAGGATTTTCAAGCGCAGATCCAGCTTGGTACAACGAACCCAATTTCACCATATTATCGACAAGGTTCACTAATGGCTTACCTTTTTCGTACTGTAAATATACATTTTATATAAATACGTTTTTTTTAAAACTCGTTAAAAAAATGTCTATAAATAAATTACCTGTTTTTCGAGGTCCAATAAATGATTTTTCAGATCATCTAGTCTTTGCAGATTTTCCATTTTAGTTGGAGTGTCAAGCTCAATCAATCTAGTCTAAAATTTTATAATTTTCTATGTTATTAACTAATAAAACCCGTTGAAGGTAATTTGTTTAAAAAAATACTAAGTGATTAAATAAAATATTTTTAAATTGAAAAAAAAGATTAACATATAGAATTAATTACCCCAAACAATAAAAACTGGAAATGGGTTCAAAGTAATTGCACATTACTCATTCGTAATAATAAATTTAATGTAAAACGAAAAACAAACCTGTGCTTCGATATCGTCGTGACACATTTCCATAGCTTTACAAATAGAAACTCTCTGCCTTCTTAATTGAATTAATAATAAAACTAATTCTTCGTGGGTTTGACCTAGGAGCTCACCGGCAGAAACTGTTAAGTTCCATTGACTATTCTAATGGTCATTATTTGTGGGAAAAAATAATAAAATAATACGTATTAAATAATTAAAATAATAAATAAAAAAAAAGGAAAAAACTATAATTATTAAGTAGATAGAAAAAAAAAAACAATAAACATATATTAACAAGTAACCTCATCGGTAACCCGGTAAATACTAAGTAACCAAGTCATTTAATTAGTCATTTAGTTATTACCCTTATGTTTCTGTTGCTTGAGTAAATATTTTTGCTTCCCATCGTCTCATTGATAATTTTATTAATTTCTTGGTATTCTCGATGAACTGGACCTTGTCCAATCGCTGATCCGCATCCGGACACTGGAATTAAACGTTACTAATTATTATAATTACTTGATTGCATTGCTTTTACCAAATTCTAAAATTCATAAAATAAAACGTTTTCTAAACTGTTTTTGTTCTTAGTTTTTAATTTACTTGTAGTGAAAATGGGTATCTTAAAATGATATATTATATTTATTAGGTATTAACTTTGACTCAAATTATTTTTATGTTCTAGTAAAACAGATTTTCTTATGTCTAGGTAGTAATTTTAGTTAAACATCTCGTTTTGAGACGAGGTAACAACCTGGAGAGCTTGTTGGTGTTTCGTCCGAATGGCGACTTAGCGATGGCGGCCTGGTGTTTAATTCGGCAGGCGTTAACGTCGCTTGTTTCTCGGAAGTACGACTGTACGCGCGCGTTGCACCCAGCATCACGGCAGGGACAGTGGACATAAGATCCCACTGTCTTAGTTTCTCCCTGTCCAGTTGCTCCATTGACGGTGGCCGGGTCATCGGGTAAAGGCCTTCCTCTAAAAAAGACTGGGAACCGCTCTTGCACCTGCCTTTTTTTACTGACCGATAATCGTCTTTATACTCTTTGTGTCGGTCAAACGCTGCTTCGTTCACGTACATGGCCTCATTCTTCTTGTCGTTCAGTATATCGGCACTCTGACGGCCAGATTTTTTCTCCGGTTCGGCGTCTAAGTTGTCCAACGACCTCGATCTCAAAGGTAGGTTTACGATTGTCAAGTCCGTTGTCCTAGGGGACTTCATCTCTGCTGTCCGCAATAGTCTTGAAATCGCTTCTTTGGGCGATGTGCACTTCCTCGGTTCCAAATTACAGTATACGCTGCTCTCGTCCAGTACTCCTTCGAGTGAACGACTTCTTTGACGCATACTAAACCCTTCCGCTCCCTGAGGTTCCGGGGTTAACGATCTCAGATTCCCGTTGGATATATCCGAGTAGTAATAAGGAGCACCGAGTGGAGGTTCGGTGCCTTCTAACCTTCTGGTTTCTAAGCTCTTGCAATAGTTTTCATAGAACCTATCGCATTCCTCGATATTCTGTTTGTCCAGATAATCATCTAAATTGATGTCAATATTATACATGCCGTTTCTGCTACCTATCGAATCTAAATCACCGCTAAAAATCGGCTGTTTTTCTTTTTTACTCGAGTCTGAATCTGACTCCGAAGCCGATTGTATTAGCGATTCCATTTTTTTCCTAATCGATTTAAGTTCGTTATCTTTATCGAAATTCATCGGTGGCGGAGAAACCAAATCGCTATCTGAAGAATCGTGAGTATCTTCGTTATTCGCAGCCCCCAGATAATACGAAGCTGGTCTAAACGTGTCTGACAGACTGAACCTAGGATGGCAAGGTGTATCAAGCGAATCTAAATCTTTCGATGCTTCATCATCAGCATCAGAACTATCTGATTTGATTGAACTATTATTCACATTTGTAGACGATTTCAAAATGTCTGGTAGAATTTTTGCTTTTACTTCTGTGTATACAGGCTCGTAGTTTGAATTCGTTTTATAAGCAATGTACTCGTAATGAGATTTTTTATCAAATTTTGGCGATGGAGCTAATATGGGTTTAGCGTTTTGAGTCATTTCAACATAATTTTCTTGGTCTTCATTATTGATCATTACTAACTTAGATTTTGATATTTCCTCTTCCAAAACGGATTTTTTTGATGGAGTCATTGGCAAATAATATTGCTCGTCATTAGGATCAGCCTTTTGGCCTAAGACATCCGCCACTTCCGGATCGTCTTCATCAGTAGAAAGAACTTCGTTATGCTTCAGTCGAGGAATAGAAGGTTCTGTGTCACTAGAAGTTTCATATAAAAGCGTTTCTGTGTCACTGAATACACAGCGTTCTTTTTTCTTCTCAAAATTGGCCAACAAGTCCCTTACAGACTGCGGGTTCTGAGCGGTCGAGTACCTAACATCCTCCTTTTTTAATGACGATATTTGAGCTTCGTTTGTACGATAAGAAGACGATTGGAGTGGCTCTTTCATTTCTTTCGATTCGAAATTTTGAATGAGATTTCTTATGCCGTTCTTTTTGCCAAAATCAAATTTTAATAATCGATCAATGTCGGGATCTTTGGATGAAAGAACACTACTGCCCATTTGCAATGTATCGTAACCACTATCGGAATGTCGACTATCAACCACTAGAGTGTCGTCCTTAAAATATGAATTTGTCGAGCTAGCTGTTTCGTCGGAGAGATGTTGTTGTTGTTTAACTGCTGGTTTCGTGTAGAAGTTAATAGTGTTGGTGTACTTTGAATCGGGTGTGATTTCATGAAAACTTTTGGTAGTCGACGTGGTGGAATTTTCTGCTTGGGTTTCTCTCTCTTTCGCTTCTAGGATAAATAATTTACCAAATTGGTTAAATAATCCATTGTAAGAAGTTCTTGCACATGCAGTTAGCGCGTTGAAAGAGTCCACAGATAATAGCCATTTTGCAGTTATTGTGTTATTGATATTTATATAATCTAAACTATTTAATGTTAGCCGACAGAGAAATAAGAAGAATACATTTACCAGTAAAAATATAATAATTTAAGTATAGGCTTTCTACGTATTAGTTAATGCTTAAAATAAATACTTAGTATAATTGTAAGCGAATATTATAGTATAAGTATAAATTATTATGCTACGTACCTTCGTCATCGGAAAAATCGTAACCATTTTCGACTGGCAAATCGTTTTTCATGTAGTCCAAGTTGTCATTGTTGTACTTGGTATTATTATAGTACGTATTAGCTATATTATTTGAATGGTTTTTCTCTTCGTTTTTCACAGACAAACGGTTGTCAGTGATTTTTTTATAATACTTAGAAAGCTCGTTTTGTGCAGAACCACGGTTAGACGAACCGGACGATTTTCTAGTCAATGTCGATTGCAACATGCGCTGTTTCCAATCTAAAAGACGTTTCATCGATTCCTCTCTCTAAATTTGAAATAATAAAAAAATAAAAAATTTAAATATAATATATTACAGAACAATTTTATTGGTCGCCTTATCCTATACAAATGGAGTCGGCCATTCAACATCTTCGAACATCTATCCATCGCCACTAATATAATCCGTATACTGAACACATCCATAAATTTCTTCTTTGGTCCATCTCTTTATCTTTCTTAATCCTTTTTCTAGTGTAATTGAGTTCCAGTTTACTTTTTTATCTTTTTTAATCATGTCTAAGTTTTTGAATATGTTTTCCTGCTTTTAGCACAACTCCCGAAACTTTATTATACTCATTTTTACTTCTGTCTAACCTTATCACTCAATATATCTACCTCAATATTCTCATTTCTGCAACTTCCATTTTCTTATTTACTTCCATACATCAGTGTAGGTCTCACTACCGTATTGTACAATGTTCCTTTCCGTTACTTTTTTAAACACGTTTACTAACCACTTACTTCGGGTACTTCCTAATGTACATATCCACGGGTAACCCATCCGGTCCTACAGCTTCCTTACACGTCATAGCGGTTATTGCTTTTTACACTTCCTCTTCCTTAATTTCATTCACATTATCCTTCATTTCACTCTATTTGCTCATATACTTCTTTAAGAAACTCTTCATTATTACAGAATAGCATTTGTGTTTATCTATGAACTCCACTAACCTGTTGCGACTTTCTTTCTTTGTCTCTGGAATCAATACTGTTTCTTCGTTGTAAGCTAGTGCTTCTTTTGTGCTCGTTTTGTTCATAATTGCGTCGTTCAGCATTACGGGGTGCTCTGGCACTGGCCGATCTATTAAATGAGTTCACATACTCGCTCCACCGTTTCTCTTGCTCTTTGATATAGTTTCGATGATTTTTCGTTTGGGCTGAAGACACCTCTACCGGTTCTGCTTTGATGTCGTTCAGGTAAATCCCCAATTGTCTGAGCGACAGAGCAGACGTCCGGTTCAAATTTGTCTCTTTGTTCAAACTCTGTGACGCTTGTCTCATTTTCTCCGCATACGCATTCTCCGACCAGTAACTATCCGAATTATCGATGAAATCTAAACTAGACTTTGGTCGTTTATTTTGTTTACTCGTATTATAATATTCTGGCGATTTGTATGAAGTGGTACTAGGGGTTGGAGTTTGATAAGCCCGCTTGGCGTCATACTCTAAAAAATCAGCACTATGAGGCCGATAAGAATATTTTTTCTCTCTGTACTTGACCGAGTTCGGTGTGTACTCATCAATTACTTCTTCGTATTCGCTTGGGATCGAATACTCGACGTCGTGTCGTCCGTACGTATCAGGCGTACGCCGTTCAGAATTATTGTTTAATTGGGATCTATTGAGATTTTGGACTAGCGGCAAATGTTTATACTGAGGTTGAGCAATTTGTGGATGTTCTTCTAGGCAATCGGTTACACGTCGTGGTTTCGGAGGTGCATTGGCATAAAGAGGTTGAGCAATTTGAACGTTGTGAGACTTAAAACTTAAATCGTTATTGTAATAACTTCTAGGCGTCGAATAAAACGATGAACTAAGAAATCCTGAATCCATGTCGTCAATTTGATTAACATATTCGGATCGTTTTGCGTTAATTCGTTCAGAATATCTATTACAAAAAGAAAAAAAATGTTTTCATTAAACAAAAGCCAATAATAAATAATGCAACATGTACTACAGTACCCGTTAGTTTGCTGAAGAATCGACGCTAAACTTAAAGCATTCATCCATTGAACCATGAGTTCCCTCGTATCTGCTGCAAAATAATACGTCCTCATGTTATCATGTTCAGCTTTGAAACTAAATTTCCTATACACTTTGTCTTCCGATGGACAGCAAGGAGATATCTTATACGATGGTAACAATATTGAACCGAGTAGTTTTTCTTCTTCGTCATCTGCATAAACATAAGTTTAAGTGGTAGTAATTTAAACAACGCGATAAAGTTATATTCATTATCACTTACTTTTGTAGTAGAAAAGACAAAATTCGGACAAAACAAACCATCGTTTCTTCCATAACATTAGACCTTCGCTTCCTTGTTTATAAAGCCATCCTTGTAATGTAACAGGAGCCGATGGTGGCCTTTTAATGTGAGGTGATTTTAGTGGGCTAGATCCAATCATTACTCTTCTCATAGGCTGAGTCACCACAACAGAGTTCTGAAATTCATTTAATACAATGAAAATATAAATTATCCAATAGATTAACCTGTTTTCCCCTAAATCAAAACACAAACCATTTTAGAAAAATTGCATTAAACTTAAAAGGCCAAATACATTTTTAAAATTATAAAAATAATTGTAATTAGTATTATTAACTTTTATTCAAAACTGGACAGTTACTTTTTGTGATTAATGAAAATTTAGCTAATAAAAAAAAAAATCAACTAATTTAAGCTTAAATGTTATTTTTAAAAAATGATAAACGCTAGTAAAAAAGATTATTGTTTGAGGGGGATTTAGCTGCAATACCGTTTTTCAAAGGAACTTTAATTGTATAAATTATATCAACGTAAATAAATAAATTTCAGAGTAACTTTGTTTTTTAAAAAAGAGCTCTGCAAGTTAATGGAAAAAAAGATTTTTATGCTCAGCATTGCTAGTTTATTTCTTTTAAATTTTACAATAAAAAATATAAGTTCTGTTGTTACAAACGCCGTTAATTTAAACTTTTATAGTAATCTTTTTTTATGGCGATAGGAAAATTTAAATAAAAATTAAATATGAGGATTAGTGTTACTAAAAACTGTGAAAATTAAAAAATACTTTGATATTTTTCAAAAACTCTGCAAGTATTTAAACAGAACATATAATATTAGGTGAACGGGTTATGATTATTGTAATCTATTAATTTAGAATTTTAGCTGTTGTTCGTTTGTAATACAATATTATGATTATAAAATTACAGAATGCCAGCAGGACAGCAATACTTAAATATTGGAGTCAATGGACCAAATCTCAGAGTACACAAAAAAATGACGGTTCAGTGAATCGCTACAATATCTTTGGATTCGTGTAGGTACAGCGTCTATAGGTATAGAGAGAGTGTAGATACATGCCATGATGTTCTTTTAATACCCATCATAACAGGTGGTCACGTTTACTGCAGGTACAAGGTCACCTTTCTCGGGTAGACGATTTTTTTTTAATCGTCTTAGTTCATAACCGCTGTAGGAAATACAATAGAATTTGTTCCTTTAAATGAATTAAATTATGTATTTACGCCATTCATATTTCTCCAACGTCATATATTTTAACTTTGATGCGTAGCTGGGTACGTTTCGGTTTAAAATGGTATGTTCATATATTTGTGTCTGGACCAGCAAAAAGCGTTTAATCATCACTGAACCGATTTCTTTATGTACAAGTTGTAGATATAGCACTGTCGGCGAAAAAGTCCAAATCTAAGAAATAACATTAACCCTTTCTCTAAAAGAGATAACATTTGGTCTATAGTCCATTTTTTTACGAAGTTATTAGACTTCATGCTTGAAAATTAGCCTTAAGTTGTCCAAAGTTTAATGTAATTCTAACACTTGTTTTATTCCATTAATAATGTATGTGTTTTTGTAAAAAAAAGATGTACATAGACGGATTTTTTTACCTTTTTTAAAGTAGCCATGGTGCCGACTGTGGAACTCGATGACGACGTCTTTGGGTCGATCCTGTAATTAAAAAAAAAAAAAAAATTTAATGCAATTATATTTTTTCTACTATAATATTTTTGTATTTATACTATTCATAATGTAATTTATACAGTTTGTATCGGTTTGATAAGTTTCTTTTCTATGTTGAAGAAACCTAGAATAATTTAAACTATTTTTTTAGATTTTTTTTGCAGATTCTTTAACATTGTATAGTGCATTTTTCAGAATTATAGTATATTATTTACGAACATGTTAATTAAAGTAGACTAATGTAAAAATTAAACAATAAAAATGATAAGAAATAAGGATTTTTTTAATATTATTAATAACTGGTAAAAACTATTTGAAATGCAATTTATTAATATCTTTGGGCTTTGTCTCTAGATAAAGTCAAAAGGTATAATACATAAATTAATAATAGTTTTGCATTTTTCTATAGAGGAATAAATTAGAAAAAGTGGAAATTTTAATATTAATTATCAAACATTTTTGTTAATTACATGATGATATCCATGTAAAAATGTGGAATTTTCAGATTTTAATATCGAGATAATTTTTTTTTTTATATATAAAAATTAATATTAATTAAAACTTGTTTAAAATTATTTTAATTTTTTTATTTTAAATAAATGAAATTTAAACACAAAACTATATCGTAACATACTAAGTAATAGCTAACAATAAAGTTTTATCGAATTTTTGCTGTTACTTCAATAAATCAGACGTAAGCAAAGAAAAACAATGCAGTTGGTAAACAATAGCAAAACTACAAACGGGTAAGTATTTTATTTTAATTTAAAACTTATTTGGTTATACTTAAGTGATTACAATATATTTTTACACAAGTACAGAAGTAGTCGTGTAAAAATATGTAGCCATGATTATGATATACAATGCTTTCAGAAATTATGATATCCCACCGCTCAGCCTTTGAAGTAAAATGAATACTCTGAAGGGTTCCATTATAGCCATTATACTTGGCGCAATGGGTTTTGTGCGCCCTACAGGAATAATTCGTGTTATATTATTATTATTATGTTTAGCGTTCTAAAAATATCTGATTTGGTACAGGGGGGTACATTAAAAGAACCTATAAAGGAACCCTATTATTTCGGGTTTCCAACCCTCTTTCACCAAAATAAGGAAAATATTTTAAACCCTTAGAGTCATAAAATCGGCGCGTTCCTTTACACGCACATAATACATTCTTCTTATTTTTAAATTGTAATGGAAGTCTACATTTCGAACTTGAAATAAAAATCCTTTATGAATCACTGTATTTTACAGTCATTACTTAATTAAATCTAAACTTAACTGTGTTTTATTTAATAATAATAATCTTTTGTAAATTGGTTTAAGGAAATGTTTTTTTTATTTACAATTTTGTTTAGTTTATAGAATAATATTTATGACAACTACAATATGTGTTAAATATGTTTAAATGATGAATTTTTCGAGCTTGCAGAGCCCTTTTTGTTATTTCAATGTTATCTATAATAATGAATAATTTCATAATGTTAATTTTACAACAAATATTAGGAATTATTCTTCGCAAATTATAGGATAACATTTATGTAATTTTATTATTAGCTTTATACCTAATTGGAAATTTAAAATACTTTTAATTATGAACTATATGTTATCGTAATGGTCAATACAAAAATCCTTAAGAAACTACACTGCCTTTAAACGAATTCAAAACCACATCATATTTAAAAATAAAATTGAAAATAGATTTTTTTATCTTACAAAGTAATTTTATTATATAATAAAACAATTGTCTCGTAAATTGTCAAATTGTTTCTATTATTTTCTATTTCACTTTTGTATATTACAAGGTATATTTTTCGAACAATCGACTATTAACGTTGTTATTATTTGTAGCTCTATTCATTATAAATATCATGTAGGTACACCAGCGTAAAAACGTATAATGAATAAAGTCGCAACAATAATTATACAGAAAAAATAAATCAATATAACACAATACACAGCGGCTAGCTTTTTTGCATTTGCGTTTGACGTTGTATATTTTGCGATACCCTGGCGCCTATTCATGCGTGTTTCACTCACATACACACACGCAAAACGGTACACCTATTTTCACGGTTATTTATTATTATTTTATTTTTTTTACACCCAGTCCGTATATATATATAGGTAATAAAAATATAATAATAAATACATAGTAATAATAACAGTAATAGCCGCATACACATTGGAAGCCGTCTACGTATTGTTGTATAGTTACAAGTATATAATAACATACATAATAGTATCCCACTCACCAGGACCAAAAATTCCAAAAACAGGGAAGCATGATGACGGACTATCCGCGATTGTCACGTATTCGGACGGAAAAACGTCGTCTGGTGGAATGTCGCAAAACAACTATTATAATATTACTTATTTTAAGCCATAAAATTTGTATTTTTCTCTCCGTTTATTAGAATTTATTAATTAAAACATATTTTATTATGCGTATAAATAACTATATCGACTAGCGGATTTATTCGTTTCACGCTGGAATAATATATTATTCTAATACTATTGCACTGTGTTTAACAATGTGAAAAACGCGTTGCCAAATTGATTGCGGATGGCAAATATTATAATTTATCATTATTCAACAACTGCCACGACGGTACAGCCGCGGCCGAGATGACCGTACAGCAACCGCCGGACCGCCGTTGGGTCACCGTGGCCCGACGATGGCAGTGGCGACGACTCGGCCAAGTACACATTCCACGTCCGTCGAAAGCCGGCAATCGCTAACCGAGAGACGGAAAAACAACCCCGAGAAAAATGTCCGTACAGTAATAATTTTGTTCGATAAATAAATAATTTTTTTTTTTACACAACCGCTGCCGATCGTCCACGCGTACCGCCGGCGCGCGACACGTAGGAAAATACACTGTTCGCCGTGTGTGCACTGGCCAAGTAGTTTTTCCCGTGTCGTGTGTGTGTGTGTGTGTGTGTGTGTGTGTGTGCGAATATGGGAAAAGGGCGCGCGCGCGCGGGATCGACCGTGGGGGAACGGTATTGCCAATTTGCGCCACTGTCGTCGCACATGCGTCTCAACGTTATGGCCTAGTTACACTTGTTTTCGTTTGTCGCCAAAAACCTCTTAACCGTGCACTGCGATAACGCTTGTACAATTGGCATTTGTGGCGATATATATATATATATATATACATACACATAGGACTGAGTTCCTTTACTTTTTACTAATTTTTCATAGGAAAACGAGGGGGGACGTCAATATGTCTCATTCCAAGCTTGAATACATAATATGACAGTCTGTATTATTAATTCGAATTGAATAATAATAGTACATGTTAAATCATCTAACTATGCTTTTAACCCAAAATTCGTTTATACTCCAATCTGTGTTTAATAGCTAGAAATTCACATACCTATATGGCGAGTAAAAAATCAATAGTTTTTTATGTCTTTTTTGGGCCTTGAAGGGCATCAGAGCACCAAAATGAGATTAATTACACGTGCATTTTCCAGGATCCAAGTAATAATAATAATAATAAATATAATATACATGTCATGTGAGTTCTAACACCGCCTAATTCAGTTTTACTTTGTGTCTTTTCGTGGTCGATCGAATGGTCACCGTACCGTGCAGATAAGTTATGTTTTAATCTTTAAGGACGGATATTTTCTTAAAGTAATCCAAAAGGCAAGAATATCAAGGTCATGGAACGCAATCGATCGAAACTGAAAAGTGCCACAAGCATTTGAGCTGATCTATTTTAGAGGTCAAAAGTATAATTCCCTTTAAATCATAACCGGTATAATAATAGTTATCCTGTCACATTGTTATTGTACAGATTACAAAATTTTCCAACTATCATTTTACAGTCGAATTTGAGCACGCCTTAAAAATAATTGTTGATTTATTAGGTAGGTTTGTCAAACAAATGGAAAATAGATTTAGTTGGGTACTTTTAAACGTCAGAATCAACCCTAATCGTATATAATACTCAAAATATAATTTTAAGCATATTATTTTAATTTTACAATGTTTTTATAGTTTTTTGTATTTCTACTAACCAAAAGATTCGCATCGAAACGTTTATTTGAAAGACATTTGTTCAACTTCAGTAATAATAATTCCTGAAAACCTATGACCTCCCCCACCCCAATATGGTCTTTCTCCGTAGGCTCAGACCTCACTGTATTGGCTAATTTTTAAAATAATTAGTAATTAGTCACATATAAATTAACAATCGATGATATTCGCCCACGATGCAGTAAAAATAGAAAAATTTAAATAGAATAGTTAGATATTTACAGTATTAACAACAGTACAATAGTAGTTAGTATTATTTCTCATAGTTATTAAAAATGTATTGTCTTTTAAATAACTTAACAATATAATTATAGCACACCTAAAATCCCCTTTTTCAGCCGAGTGTTGTCAAAGGCTGCATTCCCCAGATAATTATTATAGAATCTAAAAAAGATATATCTAGCTATACAAGTGTTCATAAGCTCTTAATTATTTTTTATTTACTGACTTGAGGCTTGTTTGCTAAATGTAATAATATAATCATATAATGAGTATACTTAATAACTCATCCAACCTTAAAGAAATTTTAATTTCAGATAATATAATTATTTAATGTATTTCCCACAAATCTTTACAAAAGTATGAAGTACTAATCTTAATCATTTATCATACAATTTATATACACCTTTTACGCCTACACTTTTGAGCGTTAATAACTCTATACAATCTATACAAAACTTCTCGTTATCGACCAATCGACATTTTCGGAAAACCGTAAAATGTATCTTGTATAACTCCTTATAAGTATTCTTGATTTTTTTATTGAATTTGAAAAATAAGAATTCACTACAATTCTTTTATTGTAAAAATGAAAACATTTACATTTTATAAATCAATGATTTATTTAGGAATAATAAATAAAGATCTTAATTGACCTAGGAGATATTGTATTGGGCATATCCCCGAAGGAAACCCATTATCCACCCACACACACACATATATAGCGTGTCTCGTAGATTTTTGGCAAATGCAATAACTTTTTTATAGTAAATATATTAAGGTTTTTATATGTATAGTGTAAATAATATATATATATATATGTATGTATATATAAAAACCTAAACATATTTTATTATTAACTACAACAAAAGCTACTGCATTTTTCGAAAATCTGTGAGCACTCCGCATACAGCTAAGTCATCTAAAAACAGACTAGGTACATATTATTCTTGCCGAAATCATAATACAGTAAACGTATTGCGGCAACACAAATAGAAAACAACACTTTCAGACTATCGGAAAAAGGAATTACTGCAAATTAATCGCCGTCTATAGGTACTCTATAGCTCAGATAAAATTATGAATGTAAACCCGTTTCTAATCTAATCTCCGAGAGTGCGAGTGCACGTACAACTTCCTATAATCCTATCTGTGGAATGCACATATGAACGGTAAACACTAATATTATTTGCTTAGCGTGCCCAATTCGAAGGATTTGTCATTGAGTAATGGGCTTATTATTGTGTATAGTGAGAAAATTGTATTTATGATTTGTGTTATGTGAATAATTTAAGTAATATGTACAGTATATACATACGTACTATATTTCTCATTTTGTTTAGCTAATTAGCTTAAATAAAAAAGCAGGGATTAGAAATGAAAATGGATATTAACTATTATTTTCTACCTATATAATAGATATCCGTTGTATAAATAACTGCACATCATAGCAATGGGTTGAATGTATTTTTGAACACTTTTTATAAATTTTACAGTGTAATGTGTACAATGGTATTTACAAAAACTCGTTCCACAAGATTATTGTCTCATTCATTGGTGAATGTCAGCACTCAGAATGTAACACACTACATATTATTATAGTACACCGCGATAGCGGTACTGGTATGCTAATTATTATACATTGTTGTAAATCTAACAAAAAAAAAATAATACCCAACAATAAAAACTGTCTAAATTAGTCAGTCGGGTCTGACTACATCATTTTTGTCATAATTATAATAAAAAGGTTGTACAAACTTTTAAAAAAAGATTATTTTTCTGAATTTGATACAAAAAATAAAGCAAACATTTGATTTATTTCTCGAAACTAATAAATAATGATAACCATGATATATTTGAAAAATATGAAAAAATTGAGCCTTAATAAAAGAGGTTTAAATATATAACTAAGTCTACTTTCTAGATAACACGGTACAGAAGCAAGTAAATATATTATTTTTTGAAGAATCTTTTTTTTTATCGACCTTATTAGACTAAAACTATGCTGAAAGTAACAAAAGTAGTGGTGACAGGCAGATAATGATGAAGTTCTAAAAATCCTAAACAAGGGTTTACTACGCAGACTAGTACCTAAAATAAATTTAATGAGGTATAATCATTTTTAACTTCTTAAAATCTTTTTAAAAAGGTTCTGCGACGTCTTTAATACCAACATTTTAACAGCAATTTAAATATTTTCAGTAGATACCGACATGGTGCCAAGCGAGAATTAAATTAGGTTTTAATTATTGAAAAAACATGAGTTTTAAAAAAAAAAATGAAATGCATTCATTTGGAATTCATTTTACTGTCGTAAATTAAGAATAACAATATGGGCTCTCTAGTAGTTTTTTGTCCTTATGTCTTTTGGCCCTCCCTATTTTTAATTTAAATGTATGTATAAATAGAATATCGTTTCGCCAGCTGTTCATCATGGATCTAAATGAATTAGTGTTTCCTTTTCATTACATTCGTTACACTGTCGTTACCTTTCTAATTTTACCCTTTACACACTCCAATAGCAATTTATTACTCAGGCGTAGTTTGAAACATACTTATAACAATAGTTCGAAAAAAAAATATTTTATTTATAATTAAATAAAATCTAATTTTAAGAAAATACATACACCATAATACAATATAATATATTGTCGCCCAGTAAGACGAATTCCAGTCATCAGACCAAAACCAGTAAATTAAAACTAATGTAATATTTATACATACTTGAATACTAAATAAGAAAGACGTAAAAAAAAACTCCATGATAGTTAATTTGATATGTAAAATATTTTTTGATGATTTTTTTTATAACAAACGTAATATGTTTATATTTATATCTACCTGCATTTAATAATCTGAAGCAAGACTAAAATCTGGACTGGATTCTGGAGATTTGCCGCTATTTTTTATATAAACAAGTAACAACATAACAATTTGATGATGGCATTTACAACTCAAAATCGCATGCAAATTCAATATGTACTAAAAAATATGTATTCCTATTTAAACAGAATAAAATGGAGAGATTAGTCAAGTCGTTTCTGATTTATCGATTACTTTACTTTTTGATAATTAAGATTTAAACTGAGTTGAATGAGTACTATAGTAAATAACAGTGTAGTAGGCGTTTGATTTAAGTACTTTCGCAAAAAGTAAACAGCCTTAAACGCTTGATCATCCTTTTATAAAATTAGGCACAAAAACATGAAAGTAAAGAAACTAGTTGTTGTTAAAACGAGTTATCAGTAGTCCAAGCCATATAAAGCAAAGACCTATATAATAGCCAATAGGTATGTAAACACTATGACTATGCTTTCGATACTGCTGATTTTCTAATAGTCTTTTCCACGAGTTTATTAAGTACAATTTATAAAAACATACTTTCATTAAAAAAAAAAAATAATTGTATTAATAGACATTTTTTCTTTCTATTTAAAAGATACAACAAATAATGCCGGTAAGCTTTCCAGTTTATTTTTCGATATTGGGTTCTTCATTCTTAGTTCACAATTAAACGACACAATATTATACTATGATTATGTACCATTTTTATTCGAGTAAAATACTAAATAATCAGGCACGACCAACAACTGAGATAACTCTTAAGAAAATAAACTTTTAATTAATATAAA